CAGTCTCTTACCTTAAGACGCTTACATTTTGTGGAGACTGGGGAGGGATGGAGATAACGTGTACAAGCATATAAAAAAATAAATACAAGATGATTTTTGTTTCATTGGGTAAAAATTAACAGTGTGCTGACCTTTAAGATCTTTTGCAGTTGGAAATCTTTGTGTGTATTCTCAGACAGAACAATCTTTGTTATTTGAGCAGTTGTATTCTTGTTTGTTGTTTGAGACGCTAGGACTAGGGCATCTCCTAAAGTCTTAATATTGAAGATCTGTCTCATAGGTTTTCCTCTGGTATCAACCTAAGTTCCTGAGAAAACCAGTCTTTCTATAGTAAGCTATGAATTAAAGTAACAAGTGCACAAACCTGTTGGAGTATAGGAGTATGATGTTCCTCCTTTAGGGACTAAACAGTAACAGATGCTTACAGTAAGGTCAAGGGACCTTAATAGTTTAAGGTTATGTGAGTATCAGCTTCTTGACTCTAGTGATAACTAGGTTTTCAGAAAGCAGACTTGTTAAACATTTAGTATATCTAAGGCACATTTCAGAAAATCATTTTAATTAATTTCTGATGACTTTCTATGGAAGGTAGGTAACAAGCATCATCTTCCTGTACAAAGTTGAACCTTAACAAGATTAATGGATGCAGAGTCCACCATTAAGTACAAAATTATGTCAGTAGAATGCAAGCTCCTTAAAGGCAGACATTGGTTTCATTTTTTCTTTATATCTCTAGTACTTAGTGCATAGTAAGTGCTTGATGCTTGAACTGAATTGAATTTAATTGAATTCAGTGGGTAGCCAGAAAATCATAATCTGCCTTTTTCTAGTTCCATTGGAGAACAGTTTTTTGGCTTTCAATCAATAAACTGACTAAACGTGTCAGACACTAGGCTAAGTTCTGGAATAACAAAGAACAAAATAGCCCTCATTGTTAAGGAATTTAAATTCTAACTAGGGGAACAAATGTATATATAAATATATACAGAATAAAGATATAGAGAATATATACACATAAGTACTGGATAGTTTGTCAGGGCACTAGCATTTAGGGGAGGAGACCTGCAAAGCCTTCATATAGAAGGCGGTGGTTGAACTGTGCTTTGAAGAGTAAGAGAGGGGATTATGAATCAGGAGGAGGGAGTAGAAATGGGAGATGGGGTACCAAGTGTAAGGAACAAAGAGAAGGTCAGTTTGCCTGGATTACAGAATATAGGACAAGGAGTAATGTCCAGTGATGCTGGCAAGATAGGTTGTGAAGCGGATGTTATTTTTTATATCATAATGAAAACATTTGGCATCTGGTGGTTAAGGAAAGACCTCTGTGTCAAAAACAAGTCATTGCTAGCAATATTCTAAAAATCATATTTGGCTTTCTAAATATATATTAAGACTTATCTCATTGATGGTGTGCATATTAAGTGCTGAGTGACTTGTCAGATATTACTTAAAACATGGTTTTTCTAGAACCAGAAATTTCAGGATTCTCTGAAGGAAGTGAAAAATGATATTCCCATGTTTTGAACACTGCCATGGAAGAAATGAGATTGTTAGAGCAATATGAGTTTAACTAACAGTTTCTTTGTAAAGCAAAATGTTTTTTCACAACCTTGACATCTTACATGATATTATCCAAGTTGAAATGGAATTCCTGTTTTTCTAAGTGTTTTTTTAAAAAAAAATCAATTTTTGAAATCTACTAGATTTTGATGGATGATACTCCCATGCACTGGTTTTAAAATATAGAATGAAATATGACACCTGCTTTGGGCATAGAATCAAATTTTCAGTCATGCTAAAAAAGGAAGAGTTTGTTTCTCAAAGAGATTGGAGGAGCTGAAATTCTTTCCAACTCAAAATCAGTCCTTCTGTGTGGAGAATTGTCAGCTTAAATCATCCTTCTATGTCATTTATCTGTATGTCCCTATAGAACAAGAATCCTTGTTTCTTTTTTGCCCCTTTGAATAGCAACAGAATAATTCTTCTTATTTTTAAAAAATACATTTCATTGATATCTTTGGGTTTTGCATCACTGACATTATAACAAAGAACAAAAAAGAGGAGAAAAAAGTTCAGCAAAACTAACCAACACATTAATAATGTCTGGCATTATATGTCCCACACCCTTGGCCCCCCATCTCTGCAAAGAATGGAGAGAGTTGGAAGTATTGCTGCTGCCAGACATGGTCAACTGCTTTGAGCAATTGAGAATTCTCAAATGCCTCTTGAAAAACATTATTTTTTAAAAATCAGCATGCTTGCAAATGATTAATTGGAGGGAAAAAAACTTATGGGCCATTTTGAACTTAGGAGAAAATAAATCCCCTGCATGCTTACAGATTTTTAAAAATAAAACTTTTTAGTTTAGAAGTTTTAAGCCTTTCAAATTAATAAGTAAGTGAAATTAATATGGATTTATTAAGCCAGTTTTTAAAACATCATTCCTTATTTGGATCTCTTTTTGTACCAGCTAAATTGGAATTGATTGAAATGTTGCCATGCATCAAGAACTTTAATTTTGGCTTGTAGTACTTGATCAGGGAGATGGCTCATAAGAGGCTAATACTAACTCAACAAGTCCTGAAATTTGACATATCAAAAATGATTTTAACAGTAAAGATGACAATGATTCTGTGAATGTCACAGGAAAGAAAAAAATAGAGTAGTAGGATAATGTAGACTAAAATAATTGGTTATGTTGGTCTCTGTTACTCTAGAAGTTCATGGAGGTCATAGAGGTTCTTTTCATTTTTAAGTTTTTGTTTTCAGTCCATTTTATTACCACTGATTTAGTTACTACTCTGTATCTCATTATTCTAAGCATTACTGTGGGACCAGGATGAAAGAGGCACAAAATCCATGCAACCTGTTTTCTATAGCAGAGGTATCTATCTCGGGCTGCCTGCCAGCCACAAGCCAGTCATCTGCAACTCTTCAGTGCAGCCTAAACCAGATTAAAATGTAATCGGGAAATGTTTGACAAAATAAATAAAAAGGACAACACAACACAGCAGCTACTGGTCAGCCATCATTGCCAGCTGGAAAGCTTTGCAGGTTCAATGTGGCAGAACTTCAGGTTCCCTTTTGGTCTGGGATTACTGCTCTGGTTATTCCACTGAAGACTTCAGACTGGGCTGGAAGTCAGATCTGAGATCCTGCTCTGCTCCTGGGGCCAGAACCACACAGCTACTGCTTGCTGCTGGATGTGGTCCTTTCTAGGTCCACAACCCTTTTTGCCCTTGGAACACCACCCCTAGGCACAGGTCCTTGCCTCATTCTGCTCTGGATCTGTGACCAGGAACCTGGTAGTGAACCTACAGTTGGTACCTGTTTTCACACCTTGCGCAAGATCAGATCCCTCTGTATGTGTTTGGGGACTAGCTCCTTATTGTGCTTGAATGCTCCTCACTGCCTTTCCTGGCTAGATGGCATCCCCAGCCTCCACAGACCTTTCTGTGTGACTCCCTAGCCTGACCTGGGCTGAGAAAATAACTCACTCTAATTTTTTTTTCTTGGATTTCCCAATCAGGGGTCGGACTGGTGTATTTTCTAGATCTGTTTTCTTTAACTGAGCTTTGAAGGAAGTTAGGGAGTCTAAGGCAAAGGTGAGACGAGATTGAATTCCTGGCTTTGGGGGGTGGCCACAGCCTCCATAAAGAAGAGGCATTGGAGGTTAAATTAATGGGGCTTATTATCAGACCAGTGGCCCAGAGTTTGGGGATCGTGAGCATGTTTCTAGGCCTATTATTCTTTTAATCATCTTACCCTACCTTATGCCCTCTTTTGTGCCCAAAATGCAAAAAAAAAAAGGAAACTTCCATATATTGTAAGCATTAAAAATATTTTAAGACAGATTATAGCTCTCTTTAGCTTGACTAGGATATAAAATAGAATAGTTTCACTTTCATTTTCATAGAATTTATTAAATGGTATGAAATTATAGGCCTCTTAAATAGCAATGGTGTTATTTTTAGAAAACTAGGGTTCTAGTGCCAATCTCTTTGCCTCTTCTCTGGATCTCATGTCACAGACTCACAGAATTTCAGAGATAGAAGGGACCCAAGGGGCCATCATCCCTTATCCAACCTTTGCTTAAAATAAAGTCACATGAATGGGTTGGACCAGATCAGGCTATCTGACCTTTTTGGCGTGTGATAAGCCCTTTGGCAACCTGATGGATCCTAGGGACTGCCTCTCAGAATCATGCTTTTAAAGGCATAAAGTAAAATACATATAATTACAAAAGAAACCAATTATATTGAAATATACTTATCAAAATATTTTCAAAAACAAGATCATTTAAGCCAGGTTAAAAATCCCCAGACTGCATCAATGATCTCTAAATTCCTTTCTGGTTAAGAAGTTCCATGATTCTTTATTGTCAAGATAGATTTATTCTTTCATTGTCCTAGAGAATTGTCATACTCTGTTATCACCCATTCTTCCAAGATGTTCCTGTTATTTATTTTGATAATGTGTATAAGACATGTACAAAGTACTGTTATATGCTTCATCTTTCTTTTCTGGTATTTTATTTCTTTAAATTGTCTATACATATAGATTTTCATTAAAGGCTCAAATGGAATTTATATCATGGCTGATGTTAGGAAAGCCTTCAACACCCATAGTTCCGTATCTATCAATTGATAAACATCTCTGGTAAATTGTTGACTCTCTTTCCTAATTCTGGTTTCCTGCCTTCTAAGAACTGGAGCCTAGCATGTTGTCTTTTTAGCATGCCTAATCTTACCATGAAATAGAATTACATCTTGATGTTACTTGTTTAAATCTAGAAATATAAGAATTATAGATAAAAATTGAACTAAATAAAAAAAAAAGCATTCTGGAGAATCTAACAATCTTGTTCCTGTGCTTTCAAATTTGATTTAAAGATATATCATATATTGCTAAATTGATTCCAAGATCATACCAATGTGTTGAAAACTCATTTGCTTTTATTTACATTTCAGAAATATTAGACACAGAGGAAAAAGTCACCAATGGCTTTTGAAAGACGAGCAAAAAATAAGCGTCATAACCCAGTGGAAAGCATTTGTAGGAAGATCCAGACTATACAGAAGAGGGACCAGTCTTCACATCCTACAGTTCAGATGGTCAGATTTCATTCTAGGAATTTTGATAATATTTACACTAACACAGTGGAAATTTTTGAAGAAACACTGAATAAGATGAATGCTGGATATTCTTGTGAACCAGAAGCTTACTTCTCAGATCTTGAGAAAGTTGATGATTCTGATCTTCAACCTTTGTCTTCTACCACTCAATATACCTCTCATCTCAACTCTCCTGAAAAGGCAACACATTCTTTCATTCTCCAAAGTCCTGAAGAAATCTTCAACCCAAGAACACCAATACTGAATCACAAGTCTTTCATGTCTCTGGTGAGAAAGAGGGAGCTAACTTCTAGCAATGAATTTAAAGACTTTCCTTGTGGAAATGATCTTATTACTTCAACCCCTGATTTTTGTTTCATTTTTAATCAAAGCCCTGACCTTTCTTTGGTGGCAAGAAGGTTATCACTGAATGAAAGAGGTAAAATTTTTTTGAAATTTTTACTCTTTCAAATAAAGCATTCACCTTATTTGATTACAAAATTTTTGAGGAAGAAAAAATACACAATTAAAGTTGGGCAGGGGGACAGGCTCCTTCATATTTTGCCTTTCAATTTTTCATGTTTATCTCTTTTTTTCTCCCCTAAAATAAAAAATCTTACCTGAGAATCTGGAAGTCTACATCATAAGCTCCCTAGGGACAGTGACTAAGCCTTACTTTTTATATCTTCCATTGGCTACCACAGTGCTTAATGAATGATATGGAATGAAATATTTAAAATTTTCAGTAATGTACTTGGAGAGGCATCATGGTAGTTAAGGGGTAATAGACAGAGAGCTGACCCTAAAGTCAAAATGACTTGTTTTCAAATCCTGCCACTGCCACAGATTGGCTGTATGACTCTAGACAAATCACTTAATCTCTCAGTGGAATTAGCAACTCCCTAAGACTATAAGTTGCAGAGAAGGTACCCAACTGTTTTGATAGAGATGAGTTTCCTCACCTGGGAGTTTCCTAGGCTGATCACAAATCTAGTCCCTATCCCTGTTGTCCTCTACCATTGATTTAAAAAATACGCATTTTAAAGACCAAATCAGAATGTGACCATGGGAGAAATTAGGGGAAAATTAAGTCAAAATTCAGAGTAATTTTTAGCTCCTTTGCTAGAAGTGACCACTTAAAAAATTCTATGAGTGAAGATGAAATATGTTCATGGAATTGTGTCATTGTAGGACTTCCATACATTCTATGGAAGGCAAAAAAAAAATGTACACATATAAGTAAATACAAGATATGTACAAATCATTTCAAGGGGGGCAAAGGGCACTGTGCAGGGTGGGCTAATGAGGTAGACTCCACAATTTGGAGTCCAATGCACATTTGGAGAGGCCTGATCATTTTTAAATGGTTAACACGGCAATAGTACTTGTATTGATCCACTGTGCTAAGCATGAGCAAAAAGAAAACCGAAAGAGAAAAGCTTTCTGTAGCAAAGGTCTTATGCTACTTATCTCAATCAACTTCCAATGTTTTTATACTAGCTAGAGCGATGTCTAATTCTTCAGGGAGCCCAGGACATGTAATCACAGAATTTCCAAGTTGGAATGGGGGAGAGAGGGAACAAGCATTTGTTAAGCATCTACCACATGGTACCAGGCACTGTGCTAAGTGCTTTACAAATTTTATCTCATTCGATCCTGGCAGCAAATCTGTGAGTTAGTTGCTGTAATTATATCCATTTTACAATTGAGGAAACTGAGACAGTCCAAGTTTATGTGGCTTGCCCAGGGTCACACAGATAATACATATCTGTAGCCAAATTAAGTCTCAGGTCTTGCTGACAGCAGGCCTAGGCTTAATCCACTGTATCAACTAATGCCTCTGCAGAAGGGAATTCAGCATCTATTCCAACATTTTTACCCAAGCAAGATCCCCTCTACAACATCCCTGACAAGTTATCTTCCAGTCTGGGTTCTGATGATAGGGAACCTAATATTGTCCAAGGTTCTACTTCTGGATCAGTCAGGTTGTTAAGAATTTTTTCCTGATGTCAAACTTAAATTTCCCTCTTTGAAACTTCTATATATTGCTCCCAATTCTACCCTTAGGTGCACTCCAGAACATGTATAATCCTTCTTCTGCATGACAGCTCATCAGATATTTGAAGAAGCTTACTATGTTTCCTCTGGTGTCTTTTCTTCCCCTGGTAGAATATCTCCATTTCCTTCAAATGATCTTTGTGTGGTATGAACTTGAGGCTTGTTACCAATTTGATTACCTTCCTCTAGATGTGTTGTTGTGTCTGACTTTTTATAACCCCATTTGAGGTTTTCTTAGCAAAGACACTTCAGTGGTTTGTCATTTCCTTCTCCAGTCCATTTTACAGATGAGGAAACCAAAGTAAATAGGGTTAAAGTGACTTGCTCAGGGTCACACAGCTAGTAAGTGTCTGAGGTCAGATTTGAACTCAGAAAGATGAGTCTTCCTGACTCCAGGCCCAGCACTCTATTCACTGTGCCACCTAGCTGCCCCTCTAGATGCTTTCTAGCTTGTCAGATGTCCTATAAAGTGGTATGCAGAACAGAGAGCCCCAGATGTCCTCCAGTATGTTAGTGATCCCTCACAGCTTTATGTCTTTTTTTTTCAATAACTGATTTTACCTCTTTATTTAATCTCTCTCCTTCAATCTTTCCCTCTTTACTGGTTCCTTCCCCTCTAACTATTAATATTTTCAAATCTCACCCATCCTAAAAAAACCCCAATAAAATGATTTCCTTTTCCTTAGTATGTCCTCAAGCTGCTGTCCTATAAATTTCCTTTCCTCTACAGTTAAGCTTCTCAAAAGAACTGTCCATGTCTCTATTTCTTCACTAGTGACTCACTTATAATATAATTTCCATCCCTATCACTCTTCTTAGAGTGTTTGTTCCAATGTCATTATTGACCTCTTAATTAACAAAATCCAATGGCTTTTCTGGTTCCTCATTTTCTGGGAATTTTATGTAGTATTTAAACTATTGACACTGTCTATACACACACTTCTTGCTTCTCTTCCTTCTTTTGGCTTCCATGACATTGTTCTCCAATTCTCTATCAGACTTTTCCTTTTCTTTTCTTTTTTTCCATTGGCTTACCTTTTTCTACTCCCTAGATATGGATGTCCTACCTTTTAGGGAGTTATTTTCTTCAGTGAGGTTTTATGCCTCTTTTGCCATTCAGCCAATTCTGCTTTTTAAGGAGTTATTTTCTTTGGGGAAGGTTTGTACCTTTTTTACCATTTGGCCAATTCTGTTTTTAAGGAGTTATTTTCTTCAGTAGATTGGGGCTGGATATAAAGATTTTTGGGGAGATATCTGCACAGAAGTGAAAAAAATGAAGTAGTGGGAGTGAAAAAGAGCAAGAAAGGAGAGAGTGTCAAGGGAGAACAAAAAAAGACTGAAGTTAGATCCATATTTGGGGGCACAGCCAAATTGGTAGAGTAGAGGAAGCATTCTAGCCCAACTTTTCCAACACTCCCCTCCAAACAACTTTACAATAACACTAAAAAAACAACAAATTCTTGAACAGTATAACATATATAGTGTGTTTATATCTATTTTTAATATATACATATATATGTGTATGTTTATATTCCAGCCTGGTCATCACCTTTTTTGAGGGTGGTGGGCAGATAAATGATAAATTGGAGTTTCATTTTGTTTTTCCAGATAAAGGACACTAGAATGATGAGGTAACCACAGGCCATGTTATAAAATGCATTTGAGGGAGCTGAAGATGTTTAGTCCAGAGAACAGAAGACATGTAGGAGAAGGGGAAGAGTTAATATCTGTCTTCAAGTATTTTAAAGGCTATTATGTACAAGAAGGAGTTAGACTAGTTTTGCTTGACATAAAGTATAGGATTAGGACCAATAAGTTGAAGTCTCAGAGAAACACATTTTAGCTCAATGTAAGAAAATTCTTCCCTGTAGCTTGAGCTATTTCAAAGTAGAATGGGCTGACTTTGGAAGTAATAGATTTCTCCATCACTGAAAGCCTTCAAGTAGAGGTTTAAAAACCACTTTTTTTTTTTTTGCTTTTTGATGAGGCAATCGGGGTTAAGTGACTTGCCCAGGGTCACACAGCTAGTAAGTGTCAAGTGTCTGAGTTTGGATTTGAACTCAGGTCCTCCTGACTCCAAGGCTAGAGTTCTATCCACTGAACCACCTAGCTGCTCCCAAAAACCACTTCTTGATGTTGTATAATGGACATCTTGTTCAGGTATGAGTTGGACCAGATGACCTGGAATTCTGTTGATTCTGAGAGAAAAGCAACTGAAATCATCATTATTTTTTTTTGATCAATAGGACCAGAATGGAAACTAGGAACCTATGTTGATAAAGGAAATATGATCCAAAATGTTAGCCAGATCTGTGAAGAACTACTAACAAGTATTTTTTATGATTGTGCTAAAAAACAAAGAGGTATGTTAATTTTTTTCTACTCTTATGTATGATTATGTACATTAACTCTGGAGTACTTAGTTTTGGAGTTTTGGAGACTGATTCAGGCTGTTCCAGTGTTTTATGTTCAAAATTGGAACAAAATAAGGTACTCACAAACAATCCAATAGCTCAAAGGAGATCTATTTATTTAAACATAGGAAGGAAAGCATATTTAGTAGGGATACAGCATTGATTCAGCTGAGTTCAGCTTTTCTATCTTTATGTTATCCATGTGGGTCTACCCTCCTCTGAGGGAAGAGCTCTTGACTCTTCATGTACTTTGGACAGTAAGAGTTTCTGCCATGCTTGGGCTTGCACGGGGATCTATGGAGGTCGCTTAGCCATCTGTCATCGGGAGTCTCAGTTTCAGTTCACAGAAGCATATGCCATCTCTCCTTTTGAACTGATTCTGTATAAACCCCAGCCTCAACCCCACTCCCACCATCCCCAGCAAACCAGCAAGAACGCATTTGGCATATTTGTCCGTATCTCCAATTCCAGAAAGGTTTCTAGGTTCCTAGAAAGGATCTAGCAGTATCCTTTCAAAAGCCTCTCCCAGTGCCTTAAACCAAAGAACCCCATCTAAGTCCAGGTGGCACCATTCCCAATGGTTTCCCAAATGCTATATAGAAAGTTCCATTCACTACTTTCAGCACAGTTCTTAGACAATTCCAAAAGAACAGTAACTAGGAAAAGCCCAAATTTACTATACTTGATAGTCCTGTAAATCCCTATTGCCTCTCCCATTTAAAAATTATGTAAATTCAGTAAATGACCATTTGTAGCATTTATCATCCTAAGGTTATGGTTCTTAAGGATGTAAATGTACATCTGTTTTGGATTGATAAATGCCCACAGTTCACCCTTTTATCTCCCCGGGGTCAGTGGTAGACATGTTATAGTATAGAACCAGCATTATCACAGAGGCCCCAGGTCATAGGGTTTCTGAATCAGGGTCTTCAGTTATCCCTGGCATATCTTCTTTCATGTAAGAAGTGACCAACACAGGGCTCATGGGCCACATGCAGCTTACAACATACTAAGTATGGCCAGATTAAAATGTAATTGGGAAATATTTAACATTATAAATAAAAATAAAATAAATATTACATTTTAAAACTAAGTCAATATGCAGCCTGCATTAGTGGCCCCCATTCTATTTGAGTTAGATGCCACTGTTCTACATGATCCTTCCCTAATTTAGTGAGGTTGTTGCGATCCAATCCTTCAACTATCACCAAATGCTGAAGGCTAGGCTTTACACAGGTAGGTCCAGGGGTTCAGGCTCAGGATGAGAGATACTCATAGTCCATCTGACTACTGTTAAGAAAAGAAAGTTTACTTAGTCGTAGCATGGAAAATTTATTCAGCAAGGAGGCAGCATTGATTCGATTGAGCAAGGTTCCCCTGCTTTTGCATTGACCATACTGGCGCACTAGTCGAAACATGTGTTAAGCATTAGAGAGAAGTTCTTGATTCTTCCTGCCCTGAATTTTGTATGTAGGACACAAGAAACTACAGCAATGTCCTGAGCCAGTTAAGTCTTTTTTTTTGTATGTAGAACTTTCTAATATATTTTATTTTTCCCCCAATTACATGTTAAAATTCATTCTCCTATTTGATTGCAGGTTCCTTAAGGACAGGAGCTGTCATTTTTCACCTTTATGTCACTAGTACCTAAAATATCATGTATGCTTAATAAATGTTTCTTGAAATGCATGTTGGAATTTTTGCCTTCAAGTTATTTTCATTTTCTTTTTCAGAAGGCAAAGTAGCTGTTTCTAAAATAATGGATTATTTGAGACCTATAACTAACTGGGACTGTGAAGACAATGACCTTGAAAAGCTGTGGACAATGTTTGACCCTGAAAAGAGAGATCTGTTTGTGGATTTGGAGACTTATCATGCCGTTATGAAAGAATGGATAGCAGATTGTAGAAACAGATGGTAATTCGTGACTATTGCTGATAAGTATTTTCATGAGTTTCTGTTTTAATTCCAATGACAGCTGATGTATCTAACATTTATCCCTATTTTATGAGCAGCTTGTAAAATACTGTGTAGTGTTGCTCGGTTTTAGAACTACCCTTTTGATAGAGTGAATAGGCAAATATCACCATTTTATATATAAAAGAATTGAACCACAGGAGTTAAGGCAATTTATAATACTCTTTAACAGTACCTGGTTTTGGAGGGCTTCCACCCCAGCTAAATCGGGGTCTGCTACTTTTTAACTATAAGCAGCTAGATGGTGCAGAGAATAGAAAACTAAAACTGAAGTTAGGAAGATGTGAATTTAAATCCAGCATTAGACACTTACCAGACATGTGACCCCGAACAATTCACTTAATTTCACTTTCCTCATCTATATGATGGGAAGAATAACAGCATCTATCTCTTTGGGTTGTTGTGAGAAGAAAATGAGATGATATTTGTAAAGCACTTTGCATACCTTGAAACTCTAAATAAATGGTGACTGTTAGCTACTCAAATAGTTCTAGATAATGCTTCTAGATACTAGGCATAAGTAGGAAGAAGAAAGGAAGAGGACATTAAAGGCAGCAGGAAGAAGGAGAGATATGGCAAAGCTAAATGTGGTAAAAGAATGGAAACCAAGTGGTACCTATTACTGTGTTATAGGGTACCTATTACTGTACTTGACTCTGCTGCCTTCATTATTACCATTGTTAGCTGTTTCCCTGTTAATAGAGGTTGAAAACATGTTTTACAAAACACTTTCAAAGCATCTTAAAAAAAAAAAAAGACAGTCATTTCTTTGATCTTGCCATTAACCTCAAAAGCACCACATCCATGTTCAGGAATTGTGAAATTCCCTTACCTGACCACATTCTATTGGCTTTCTACTTCTTGCCTTTCCTTACCAAGGCCTGCCTTTCATCCTCACTGTGACCTTCAATCCTTCAACCCATCAGTTCTCTCTCAGGCCACCACCCCATCTGGCCTCATTATTCTTTTAAACAATTAGAATTAATTGACAGAGATTTACTTATATTTGCTTATATACATATATAAATATAGATATATTTGCCCAACAGGTTGGGCAAAATACTTATACCAATTATGGCCCCCAAAAAATGTATTTAAAACTTATGGGGAACTGCTAAAAATAAAAATTACAACTCCTACTAATCAATTGATAAATGGTCAAAACATGTGGACAGACTTTTCAAAAGAGAAAATGTAAATTGTTAATAGTCATCTGGAGAATGTTCAGTTTTACTAATCAAAGAGATACAAATCAAAACAACTTTGAAGTATCATCTCATAACCACCAAATTGGTAAGAACAATTAAAAATTAGGACATTTGGTAACAGCGGAATTGTGGATAAATGGGTACACTCCTACGTCTGGTGGAATTGCAAGTTAGTAGAATCTTTTTTCTAAAGCACTGTAGTGGTATACAGTAAAAGACACAGAAACAATTATCATTGACTCAGTAATTCCATTGTTGGGCATGTATACTCAGAGTGTTATCAAAAATGGAACAAAAAAGCTATCTGTTCAAAGATTTTTTAAACCACTATTTGTAATTTTAAAAAAAACCGGAAAAAACCTAACTGTCCAATAATAGATGAATGGGTAGTTAAGTTTCAGCGCAGTCATGTAAAAGAATACTATAATGAAAAACAATATATTTCAAATGTATAGGATATAAAAAATTTGGAAAGACCTTTGTGAAATAATACCAAGCAGAAAAAAGCAGTACCAAAAGAATCACTTGTACACTCTGACTATGAGGAAAAATGAATGACAATGTATAGACAAAGAATTCTGATGGAGGCTTAGAGGGATGAAAAGATGAGGTAGTTTATGCCTTGAAATTAATTGATTTGAATGCAAGTACTTGCAAATAAAAGCAGCTAGGTGGTAGAGTGAATAGAGCCCTGAGCCTGGAGTTATTAGGAAGACTGATCTTCCTGAATTCAAATCTGGCCTCAGCTACTTACTAGCTGTGTGACTCAAGGCAAGTCATTTAATCCTGCTTGTCTCAGTTTCCTCATCTGTAAAATGAGCTGGAAAAGGAAATGACGAACCACTCCAGTATCTCTGCCAAGAAAACCCCAAATGGGGTCATGAAGAGTTGGACACAACTGAAATGACTGAACAACAACAAACTTGCAAATAAAGTTAAGATGTTCCTTATGACGTTTAACGTTAACTTTCTAGCAAATCATTTTTAAAAGAATGAGGATAAGATGGAGAGAGCCAAACAGTACACATTTGCATGCTAAATGTGTAAGAAAAAAAAGTGGGATTTAGTGAGAGGCATAAAATATGAAAAGCAATAATGAACTTGAGAATTAGATAAGGTGATAAGATAGGGATGCTGGTGTGAACTTCCTGTCATATTCAACTTCCATATTCATCTATCATCAACAAAGCTTAAAGAGAAGCACATCTCTATGGATTCTTCTGACAAATATATAAACTAAGACCTTTTTTTCTAGCAGCTTAAAAAAAGAATTCATTAACAGGAGTCAAAAGCAGAATGTGTAGGTTATTGACAGTGGGTAACTGAAATAACAAAACAACTACTTGGAAATTTTGTGCTTAGGTGTAAAATAAAAGAGCAAATAACTTGAATATGAAATGTCATTTGAGCTACCAAAATTAATTTTCAATGGGAATAAATATTTCTTTATCACTATACTGAAAATTTGTGTTATTCAGGTCCTTTTCTTCATGTTTTTCCTTCTGTCTTTCCTTCTTTTCCCTCCCTGCTATTTGACTATTTGACTTTATGACTTTATGAAGAGTAGAGGAGTAAAAAAAAAAAAAGAGTCTGAGGACCCAAAATAGTCCATTTGGGCACTTATATTTGCAAATAGCTAATGAAAGAAGTTTATTTTTTTTTTGCTAAAATGATGAACTACCTAGAAAAGAGCATTTCCACTTGAATATCCTAATTCTTAAGTTAACCTTAATGACTTATCTTCCAAAACTGTTTCCTTTACCAACTTTCTTGTTTCTCTCAGTAGCACCACCATTTTACCAGTTAAGCTAGAAAAACCTTGGAGGTGCTATGATTCTTTTTCTACTGTGCCATATATTCAATATGTCACAAAGCTCTATTAGTTCTTGCTTTGAAAGATCTCTTAAATCTTGAGTCTGTTACTTCCTCTCTATGCTATTGATATTATCTTGGTCTGGACCCCCAGCACTTCATAGATAGGCTACTGCAATCATTTCCTAAATGATGTTCTTGTTTCTAATCTTTCCCTACCTTCAATTTATCCTACAAACAGAAAGTAAGTCTTCCTAAAAGGTCAATTATGTTCCTTTATCCTCTTGCTCAGAAGCTTCCAGTAGATTCTCATCACCTAGCAACAAGTCCAGATTAATCAGCCTGATGTTCAGGGACCTCCTTAATATGGTCTACTTACCTCTCCAAACTTATCTCCCATTACTTAACAACACAAATCTTGCAATTCAAACAGATTAGTCTTCTCCCCATTCCTATGATGTTCTGTGTTCATTCCCATGCACAAGCCATTCTCCCTCATAGTAAAATGCCCCTTTTCTCTCTTTTTTATCTAAGTCCTACTTCTTCAAGGCTCAGCTCAAGTCCTATTTCTTGACCCCTATAAGCCTGCTTAGCTCCTTCTTTGCTAAACACCAATCAATATTATAAATACCATTTATTGGCACTTTGATTTATTTTGACACTTTGCTTATACACTGCTTTCTATGAATAGGAGAACATTATTCTATTCATAGAATAATAGAACATTAAATGAATAAGTGAACGAAGTATTCATTAAGCATTTACTATGTGCAAAGCTCTGAGCTAGTTACTGGGGATACAAATAGAAAAGTAAGACAATCTCTGCTCTCATGGAACTCATATTCTATTGAGTGAGACAACAACATATGGAAAGTATCTGCTGAAAGTCAGATGAAAAGGTCCCATGATTCTTACAGTGCAGTAGCAAAGCAGATGGTAATGCTTTCTCTTTAATGGATTTCCACTGGTAAAATCCTGTCAGTTTCTAATGTTAAACCATTTGACAGTACCAAGAACTGTTTTTTTTTTTTCCTGGATCTTTAGTAGCTGTGCTTGTAGCACCTGCAGGAGCAATTGCTCGGTTGCATTTCCACACAAGTTCCTTTCCAAGAAGGAACTAAGGCTACGGGTTGCTATGGAAATGGGGCTAGAAGTGTTTCTATTCTCAAGTTTCTTGGGTCAGGGCCCTGGGTTGTCTCCAGCATGGGAGATGGTGGTCAAGGTAGTGATGGTTTGTAGACTTTCATGGAACATGCACTATCTCCCCCTCAGGGTGCTATGCTGCTTTAGATAGAATGGTTTGTGTGCCCTGTGAATACCAGATGATTGATAGTTGGGGGGAATGGCTCATCCATTTTTTTTTAATCTTTTTAAAAAATTTTTTTTTACTTATTTTTAATTTATGGAATAAAACAAGCATTTCCATAACATAGTACTGGTTCATTGTTGGTGGAATTGTGAATTGATCTAACCATTTTGGAGAGCAATATGGAATTATACCCAAAGAGTTATTAAACTGCCTATGCCCTTTGACCCAGCAATACCACTGCTATCTATCTCCAGAGATGATATTAGGGAAGGAGGAAAGGAACCTGTATGTTCTAAAATGTTTATAGCATCTCTGTTTGTGGTGACAAAGAGCTGGAAGTTGAGGGGGTGACCATCAATTGAGGAATGGCTGAACAAGTTGTGGTGTGTGATTGTGATGGAATGTTGCTGTGCTGTGGAAAATGATGAACTCAATGATCTTGGAAAAAACATGGAAAGATTGATCAAAATAATGAAGATCGAACTGAGCAGAACCAGGAGAGCATTGTATATAGTAACAGCAATATTGTTTTAAGAAAGACTTTGAGCAAATTAGTCATTTTGAATATCATAAATGCCCAAATGAACTATGAAAGACATATGAAGAAAGATGCTGGTCTGATTTCCCCTGGAGTTGCCTCCCCAGATGATGGCTGTGAGGACTTGGCTGGAGGTAGGACCATTGGTCTGGGAGATGCTGCCTGCCCTAGAACTCCTGTGCTTATCTTTCCCTTGGTGACAGTTTGCCAGCAGCTTTTGCTAATGGTGATGAGGGTGGAGTCCTTCTCCACAATGATTTCTTTCCTCAATATTGGCTGTAAGGGCTTAATTGGAAGCAGGTTCAGTGGTCTAGGGGACACTACTGTTCACAAGGCTCTAGGGTTGAGAATCCTGGTCTATCTCCATCCATCAGTTAATCAAGAATGACATTTATGTAGGCCTCAGGAAGTGGGAGGATGGTAACGCCCTCTGCAGTAATAGGGAGATATGAGATGAGGAATGTTTGGGGGAAATGATAATGAATTCTATTTTGGACATAATGAGCTTAAGGCTTCTACTAGACATTCATTTTGAGATGTCTGAAAAGTAGTTGGAGATGTGACATTGGAGGTCAGCAGAGAGATTAGGACAGCATAAGTAGAATTGAGAATTATCAGCACAGAGATCATTAAATCCATGGGAGCTGATGAGATAACCAAGTGAAGCAGTATAGAGACAGGAGAGAAGAAAAAGTAGGATAGAATCCTGAGGGACCTCTACAGTTAGAGGACATGATCTGGAGGAGGGTCCCACAAAGGAGACAGAGAAGGAGAGGTCAGAGAGGTAGGAAGAAAACCAGGAAAGAGTGGTGCCCCTAAACCTAGAAAGAAGAGAGTATTAAGGAGGGAAAAGTGATAAACAGTGTCCAAGGTCACAGAGAGGTCAAGGAGAACAAGGATAAAGTTTTAGGCTATTGAATTTGGCAACTAAGAGATAATTAGTAACTTTGGAGAGAGCCATTTTAGTGGAATAATAATGTCAGAAGCAATATTGTAAGGGGTTTTAAAAAGAGTGAGAGGAAAAAAAGAAGAAGCATCTATGGTAGAAAACTTTTGAGGAGTTTAGCTACAAAGTGCAGAAGCGATAGAACAATAGTTAGCAGGAATGGAAAGATCAAGAGAGAGTTTTTTTCAGGATGAGGGAAACAAGGGCATGTTTGTAGGCAGTAGGGAATGAGTCAGTAGACACAGAGAAGGAAAATATGATAGAGTGGGGGTGACAGGGGAATATCTGTTGGAGGAATTGGGGTAGAATAGGATCCCTTGAACAAGTATAGGGGTTGCCCTTGGTAAGGAGTAAGGCCACTTCATATGTGAGACAGGAATAAAGGAGGGAGTGTCAGAAGGCACCTGAGTAATAGGGGATGAGGAATAAGGGAGAAGAGGGAGTTCACAATGAATGGCCTCAGTTTTTTTTCTGCAAAATATGAGGCGAAGTTCTCAGCTGAGAGATCTTCAAGGTCTAAGTGAAGATGGTGGTCAAGGTGGCAATGACTTTAGACTCATTCAGCACACTGCCTTCTATCTCTCCTCCAGATTGCTTGTTTCCTTGTTAGATCTAGAAGGGACCCAGAGGCTTTCTAGTATTAACCTTTCATAGAAGAATAAACTGAAGCCAAAGAAATGAGAATAATCTGCCTTAGGTCACACAGGAAGTTAGTGTCAGAGCTGGGACTTAATCCCAGGTTTCCTTGGCTTCCAGTCTATCGCCTGTTCCACTATAACCCACTATTTCTTGGGTTTATGCTGGGTCTCCTCAACTAGTTTGCAAATTCCCAGAGAGTAGAGACTCTTGCTCATATTCTTTTTCATCCCACTTCTTACCTAGTACAGTATAATTTGTATATTAAGAATTTATTAAATACATGTTGAATGGGAGGGGGAGGGAAGGAAAAAAGAAATTTATGTGATAATTTTATTATATATTTGAAAGAAGGTAGCAAGTTGTGCATAGTAGATTTGCAGTTTCATGTGTGATCATCTTTTTACTGTACTATGTTATGGAAACACTTGTTTTATTCCATAAATTAAAAATAAAATTTATTAATGAAAAAGATTTTAAAAAATACACATTGAACTAATCAGATTTGACCAAAGACTTTTAGAAAATGCCAGTAAGGACTGAGATTGTTACCCTTCTAGATTCAATATAAAACAGCTGTATATTAATGTGAAGTTTACCACATCTGGAAGATCCAAGCTTTGGTATGCGGAAATGTTTCTAACTTGCTGGTTTTGTTCTTGTTATAGGGGAAGAGAGAAGAACGAAATGAGTTCTGCGGAAGATTCTGTCTATAAAGCTTGGCGTAGTCAGAAGTCAGGTGTGATGTTTGTCTCTATGTGGAATTTTCTGCCCTTTTCCTATGTTTTCCAAAAAACTTTACCTTACATTGTTTTTGTGCATTTTAGTTAAGATGACCTCAAATTCAGTGACTGTCACATCAGGGAGCTTTGAGTCTTTTGGTGGAGATACATGTAAAGATGATTTGTAAGTATGATTACTTTGGGGGATAGTTGAAATATTTCAACTTGCTGTTCTGACCAATTTACAATGTATGCATTTTTCTCATGTGTGTAAACTCTTAGTCTGACACTGTGTGATCCTGAGCAAATCACTTGATCACACTGAGCCTCAGTTTCCTCACCTATCAAATGATAATACTGCTACTATGTACTTCAAAGTTTGTTCAGTCATTCAATCAATCAAGTTTTGTTTAGTTTTTTTAAAGTGCCTACTATATGGCAGACATAGTGCTAGGCTCTGGAAATATAGATACAGTGAATATCCCTATTCACAAGGAGTTTGCATTCTAACAAGGGAATCAACTACATAAATATATACAGGAAAAAAACATAAAGAGAAAAAAGTTTAATAATCATAATAACAACAAGCATAATAACTAACATTTATATAGCACTTACTATGTGCCAGGCACTGTCCTAAGCACTTTACAGTTATTATCTTATTTGATATAAAGGACCTTGAGAAGGAAGGAACTAGCAGTTGAAGGAGAAAGGTGCTTTGGAAACCGTAAAACAGCATTGTCACTAGAGCTCTGTTCCTGGTTAGTCTAAGCTAATTCAGTAGCAAAATTCATTTAATTCTTAACCGTTTTGTATCATCTACACTGAAATCCTTGTTTTTCTAGAATCTAATTTATGCTTGCTTTCTCAAGGAGAAAAGAGGGGAGGGGAGGGAGGGAGACAATATGGAACTCAAAGTTTAAGAAAAAGAATGTTAAAAATTTGTGTTTATGTGTAATTGAGAAAAAATAAAAACTAAATATAGAAAAATAGTCTGATTTAAATTTACTAGTAATTTATTGTTATACTTTCTCTTTCACAGAGCCTCACTTGATATCTATGAGAAGCAAGTTTTATTAGAAGTAGGACATCTCAGAGTAGAAAAAGGCAACTGTAAAAAAAAGCTATAGGCAATGACAGAATAAAATCCAAGTTTTAGGAATGATTGATCCCTGAAAATCCAAGAATCTTGATTTCATGATGATGGTTGCTGGGTAGGAAGGCAATCTCCTGAGAAAATTTAAATCCATGAATGCTGTCATATGTCTTGTTTATTATGAAAGGGGTTGGGGAGAAAGAGATATTTTATTGAAAAATTTTCCCTTTTATTTCTTCACCTTTAGAGAGACCTCTGACTTGATTACATGTGTGGCAGACCTGCAGTTTAACAAACAAAAACTCCAAGAGGAAAACACCAAATTTAAGCTGGCATTGGAAGCTCTAGAGGAAGCCAACAACCAGTTAACAGAAGACTGTTATGAATTGCACAACCAAATGAAAAGGTGAACTTATTTCACTCTGTGTGTGTTTGTGTTCCTGGACTGTATTCTATATCTATGCCCTTGAATAGTTCATTCATGTCCATGCTGTCTGCTTGAGGTTTGTAGACCCTACAAGCCAAAAAATGGGTCCACCCAAATTATTCCCGATTGTGCGAAACTACTTGTATAGCATTATGAAATTTCAAAAAGCTACACTGTTTGCCTCACTTCCCTCACCTGTAAAATGGGGACAATAATAGCACTCATTTCCCAGGGTTTTTGGGAGGTTCAAATGAGCTTTGTAAAGCACTTAGCACAGTGCTTAGCAATAGGTTCTGTATAAATGCCAGCTGATATTATCATTGTTATTATTGTTATCATAAAGCCTTTCTAGTATATACATGTAGTCATTTCCCCAGTAAGTGGTTACTTAAGAAAATGGTACCTGAGAAAGGGATTTGGATTTCTAGTCCATGGTTTAAAATTGAAAAATGATGGATTCTTGGTCAAAGATGGAGTGTACCTAACAAGTGGCAAAAATTTTATTTACCTCTGAGGTCCTTAAACCGAAAAGAAGGGAAGAAGAAATGAATGAAGAATAAATGAATGAGTGAATGAATGAATGCTTTAAAAATGTTTTAAGTGTTTATTATTTGCCAAACACTGTGCTGAGAAGCTCCACATACAAAAGCAAAACAGTTCCTGCTCCCAACAATTTATATTCTAATGAGGGAGAAAAACACAGGTGTAGGAGTGGTGGCCAAGGAGGAGTATTTTGGTTTTGAAATCACAGATATGGTGGGCCGTATGAGGCACCCACCAATCAGGACAACACAGGGCAACAGTTAGAGGGCCAAAATGAATACATGACTTAGATATCATAAACATATCGTAAAATTATATTGTAAACAAAGGAGAGAAACAAGGAAGAAGTTACCTTTCAGATCTATGCACAGGGAAGAGTTCATGATTAAGGAAGTTGTAGAATCACATCAGATAAAGTTAGACAATTTTTATTATAAAATTTTATGTTTTCATGAAAATATTCTGATGTAGAAAAAAATCAGAAGAACAGTAACTGGGAAAAATATTTGGAACACATTTCTCTGATAAAGGTCTAATTTCCAAGAAGCAAATTCAGATTTGTAAGATTTTGAGCCATTCCCCAAATGGTCAAAGGATATGAAAAGGCAATTTTCAAAGGATGAAATATAAGCTGTCAATGATCATGAAAAAATGCTCTAAAACACTAATAAGCAATTAAAGGCAAATTAAAGCTGCTTTGAGCTTCCACCTCATACTTATCAGATTGTCAAAGATGAAAAAAGAAGAAAATAATAAATGTTGGAGGGGCCACTTGAAAAAAGGTGGATTAATTCTCTGTAGTGGGGCTGTGAATTGGCCCAGCCATTCTGGAAAGCAGTTTGGAACCGTGGCCAAGAAACTACCAAACTATGTATACATTTTGGCCCAGATATATTGCTACTAGGTCTGTACTTCAACAAAATCAAAGAAAGAGGAAAAGGATTTATACGTACAAAAATATTTATAGTCATCATTTCATGCTACCCCAAAATTAGAAATTAAGATATGGTCCCTTTGGAGAATCACTAAATCATGGTGCATGAATGTAATGGAATATTGTTGTACCATAAGAAATGATGAAATGGACAGTTCCAGAGGAAATGAAAAAACCCTAATGAGTTGATCCAGAGTGAAGTGAGCAGAATTAGATCAATTCATAGAAGATTTATATAATAATAACAACTATTATAGACAAAAAAAAAACCCTTCTTAGAGCCCTGATCAATGGAAAGATAAATTACAAGTCCAAAAGCACGAAAATGAAACATACCATTCACCTCCTGGCAAAGAGGTGATTATCTTATTTTTTTAGTTCACTCTTTTTTCTTTTTTAAAATTATTTTATTTTAAACTTAAATATAAAATAAGAAAAGAAAAAAATAAACTTAAATACTAAAACTAAAATGATACAAAATGAGAAAAGAAAAAAAAGCATTGCCATGTGCACAGCAGAATGTGAGAGAGGATTCAAAATATACAGCAATAAATTTCCATTTCAAGAAAGTCTATGTATTAAATACTATGCATTACATTGAGAGCTGTCCATCTTCATTTCCTTTTAAGTTTTCTTTTGTTCTCTGTGTGCACTTTTTACTTTGTTCTTTTTTCCCTCTTCCTCCCAAGAAGGCTACAATTAATTGTGTATATATTTATATAGATATATATAGAGAAAGATACATTCATGCACACACATATAAACATAAATACACATACATATATAGTCATATGCACACAGATATGCACATATACATATACACACATATACCTATATATAACATACACTTACACATATACTTATATATCAATAATCATAGTCATGTGTAGACATATACATTCATGTGCATCTATGTAAGACCATACTATACCTCTTTGTTCTCTGCTTCTCTGAAGTTGAATAACCTTTTCCTTCGTAAGTCCAAATCTTTCCATATTTTTCCAAGTCTACCAATTCATCATTTCCTATGCTACAGCAATATTCCTACCTAATACTGTCTAGTTGTTTTAAATAGTCTAAAACAACATTGATAAATATGGCTGACACATACTGTAGTTTCCCTATTTTTTCTCTTTTGATTAGATATATTTTAACCTTAACTTTGTCCTAGATCATGATTATTACCCCTGCCCCTTTTCCCCTAACAAATTCTACTTCTGTTCTTTATCTTATGTTTGTGTGTATCTCTTATTTCCTGTCCCTCCTGACTCCTCTAGTTTATTTCTACCGGCTACCTTGTCCTCCTAATACTTAACCTTCCTCCCTCCAAGGATTCCTCCTTTATCCTCCCATTCTCGTGAATCTAAACAACCTTCTGTTCCACCCTTTAATATATTCGCTCACCCTTCTCTCTAAAGATCCCTCCCTTATCCTCTCCCCTTTCCCTATCCCTTTAGCATTTTATTTCTTTCTGAATTTAGAAGACTTTTATACTCTCCTAGATATATATGTATTGTTTCCTCTTGAACCCATTCCCAATGAAAGTAGATTTCCAAAACTACCAGCCTTCCGCCCTCATCTAATTCCTTTGTGTCGGTTCTTCATTAACACCTCATCTGTATAAGATAATTACTCTTTCTAGCTGTTCCTAAATGGTTTTACTTTTTAAAATCATATACTCAGGTCTACTCAGTCTTTCTTATGAACTACCCAATTACTAATGATCTTAGACATACATTTTACATTTTACATACATAAAAGGTAAACAGCCTGTCCTCGTTGACTTTCTTGTAATTAGCCTTTGGTATATACCTTATATTTCTCTTGGCTCTTGTATGTCAAATCTTCTATTAAGTTCAGGGTTGTTGTTGTTGTTGTTGTTTTTTAACAAAATCCTGAAAGTCTGACAATTCATTAAATATCCATTTTTTTCATCCAAGATTATGCTTAGCTTTGTGGTGAGGATCTTAAATGCAGAAAGAGACATACAGTTTTTAGATATGATTTAGGTGGAAATTTGTTTTACTAGACAATGTAGGTATTCACTGAGAGATTTTAAAAAATTGTTCAGTGGTGGAAGATGGTGGTGGAAAGGACCTTTTTTTTTTAGAGTACATGTTACTTAAAAAATAAAAATAATAAAATAAAAAGATGGAGAAAAATGAATTAGAGGGAAGAAATTGCTTATGTATATCTTCAAAGCAGGATGTCATAAAGAGTAGTTTCGGTGTAGGAAGAATAGCATTAATGCCCAATAAGTCACAGTAGACAAAATCCAAGGTAGGAGCCAACAATAAAACTCATATCCTCAGGTGACAATGTATTCAAAGTATGGATAACTAGCTATCCAAATGCAAGGAAGAAAATGTAGCTTCATAGGCAGTAGTAAGATTCAATCAGATGAAATCCTAATAGGAATAAAGTAAATAAATCTTAGTGAAAAGCAACAGGATAGACAAAGTATATGTGTGTGTGCATGCGCACATCTCTCTCCCTCCCCCACTCTCTCTCTTTGCATATATATGTACACACACACATATACACACATGTATATGTATACATATAACACATAAATAATGTACAATACATATGTATAATCATAAATATTTAATATATGGACACACAGAGACATACACATGCACATATATATTTATACACACATGTATATGGGAATGGCAGAGCAGGACGAGGATAGCAGGAGGAATTATTGTTGTAATTTAAGAAAATATAAGAAAAACTGAGAACGATAGTGCAGAAGCATGGTGGAAAATATTTGGATAAAGATAATGGAGGGAGAATGAGAAGCAATAGTATTGGTAGAAAGGTATTAAAAACAATCTAGATAGAAGGAGAAAGCTGACAAGTTCAGGAAACATCTCCAGTCTGGCATGAAGGCATGCATAGCAGTGATGAGGGACTTCGGTTATCTGGAGCTCTCTTTCTGCCAAAGGAAAAACAGTTAATAATTTCTCATCCTGTTTTGTGAATGATTTTATCTTTCAAAAGATGGAGGAACTAAGAAAGGGAACTGTCATTCTGGATCTGATTCTTGCTGATGAGGAGGAACTAGATGCTGCAGCGTAAAGAAGGTGGACCTTAGGGGAGAAGTGGCCACATACTCTTAAAATAAAACATACAAAAGGAGAAGAAAGCTGAGTGCAGTCCAATGTACACCCTAGATTTTGGGAGAACAATTTCAAAGCATTCAGAAAAAGGATAGGTAGCATTCCATGGCCTAAAATTCTACTAGCAAAGTAACAATGAGCAGAGATAAAAAGCTCTCAAGAATGAAATTCTGAATACACAAAGAGTTTAAATTCTAATCAGAAGGAATTGTTTAAAGAGATAGGTAGGGAAGCTCACTAACTCAGAAACCAATGTTTTTCATTTGTTTTGTTTTGTTTTGTTTTTGTTTTTAAAGATGGAAACATTGGCAGGTAACTGAAAATGAACATAAAATTTGTCACGGGTTCTGTAAGAATAATATCAGGTGTGCTAAAGTTCAGAGGAGCCTAGGCTGGGGAAGAGTGCTAAGAACAACAGAAGAGGAATTTTTTCTTATACTAGGGAAAAGAAGAAGATCAAAGATGGGAAAAGACTGCTACATGAGGGTAGATGGAACAGTGATAACCAATAATGATGAGATGTAAGAACTACTCAAAATTAATTTTATTTCTTTTATCTCTGCCAAGGAGAATTATTTTAGACTGGAAAAGAGAGAACTAAATGGCTAATATGGAATTAAAACCAAAGATAAATAAGGAGACAGATAACAAGACATCCCCTAGGTATTTTTAATAAGTTCAAAGTGCTATACCCAGACACAGTACAACCCAGAAGACTGAAAACTAGCAGATAATCAATAACACTTGAAGGATCATGGGAGATGGACTTCAAGACTGGAAGCAAATGTCCCTGTTTTCAAATGGTGGGAGCAGAAGTTAGTCGGTAAATTATAGACCAGTGAGCTTGACTTAGATTCCTATCAAAATTCAAGGATACATCATTAAAGTGATGATTAATGAATTTCTAGAAAAGAAGGGGTAATCACAAATATTCAATATGATTTCATTTGAAAATGCCTTGTCAAAGAAGCCTAATTTCCTTTTTTGATAGAGTTAATAAACTGGCAGATTGGGAGAATATGCTACTTTTTCACCTACATTGTAGTGAAGCATTTGATAAATGCTATTTTTCTAGACAAGATAAGGGAGATGTGGGTTACTCTTGGTATTGATTAAATGTTTGCACCCAAAGAGTAGTATTATATGGTCCAGATCAAATCAAGTCAACAAGCATGTATTTATTAAGCACCTACTATTTTCCAGGCACTAACTACTAGAGCTACAAAAAAAATGACAAAAAGACAGCCCCTGCTTTCAAGGAGCTCACAGTCTAATGAAAGAGATAACATGAAAACAATTACGTGCAAACAAGATATATTCAGGATAAATTGGAGATAATCAACAAAGGGAAGGCTTCTGGCAGAAGAAATTTTAGTTGGGACTTCAAACCAAGGATGTCAGGAAGTAGAGATGAGGATGGAGAGAATTCCAGGCATAGGGGACAGTCAGTGAAAATTTATAGCCAGAAGATAGTGAATCTTGTGCCAGGAGCAGCAGAGAGGCCAGTCACTGGCCTTGCAGAATCACTGAATTGCAGCATAGTGGGCATGAGAAAGGTATAAGAAGACTGGAAAGTGAAAAGGGGCCAAGTTTTAAAAGCCAGAGGATTTTATATTTGATCCCAGAGGGATCATTGGAGTTTATTGATTCAATAAAGAATTGACGGGGGCATGGAGAATCAGTTAGGAAGGATGTGTCTAGTGGTGTGTCCCAGGGTGCTTGGCCCTGTGTTGTTAAATATTTTTATCAATAACTTTGATAAAGGTACAGGAGGCATGCTTATCAAATATTAGATGTCACAGAGCTAAGAGGGATAACTAATATGTTGAATGACAGGATCCAAAATGATCTTAACAGTTTAAATCTATAGGATTAACAAGTTGAAATTTAATAAGTATAAATGTAAAATTTCACCCTTGGATGAAAGAGAATCACTTCAGCAAGTACAAAGTTTGAGAGGCATGACTAATAGTATTTTGTCCAGAAAAAAGAAGAAAAATTGAATTTATGTGTTTGAATGTCGATGTGGGTCAAAAGTGTAAATGGCACCTACAAAAACTACAGTGAGAGGATCATAGTGTCCAGAATAAGACAGGTTATAATCTTGTAATCTGTCTTGGTCAGACAACATTTGGAATATTATGTTTAATTCTGGGTGCCACATTTTAAGAAGTTAGGAAAAGGTGAGAATCAGAGAGAATTTAAAGGACTAGAATCAGGATGGCAAAGTCCTTGAGATTATTCCACATGAGGTTTAGTTAAAGAAACTGGAGATATTTAACCTGTTGAAGAGAGGACTTGGGAGGTCATGGTAGCTAGATTAAGGTATTTGATGGATTATTCTGTGAACAAGGGATTATAATTTTTTTTTTTTTTGCTTTTGGCTTGGCCCCAGATGTCAAAACTAGAAGCAATGAATGGAAAATTCAGAAAGACACAATTTAGGGTTATTTTAAGGGAGAACTTCCTAATGTTTAGAGCTATGGAAAAATACAGTGGGCTATGTTGAGAGGTAGTAGATTACTCAGAAATTTTCAAGAAGAATATGGATGATCATTTATTAGAAAATACTGGTGAGAAGATTGTTATTCAAGTATATGTGGGATTAGATAGACACTGAGATGATTTCCTACCCAGAGATTCTGTGAACTTGCAAGGTATACAAGTTCCATTTATGTATGGGCTTTGTCTGCTAGTATTTTCCATAAAAAATGTATTTTATCAGGAGATCCCACCAACAAACATATACCACAAGGACAGAAGGAAAGGTCCCTCCAGTGATGGAGATTATAACTCATCCAGGCCTGTTAGTCATGTACTACTCTCATCTATATTTATCCAAAATGCTAGATTCCTTCCTCACTTTCTCCTGATTTTGCAAGGGTACAAATAAAACACTGTCAACATGTCACCCTTATCTTTACCATGTGACCATTCCATATTTTCTTCCTATCATATGTTATTTATCTCTTTATTATTTATGTCTTTTATTTATATCTTTTATTCTTATTCTTTGATTTCTTAACTGGTTATGTGTTATGGCTTGCTCACAAAACCATATATCTCTTCATTGCTCTCTGCATGACACTGATTTTTAATTTTTTGAGACTTTGTATTGCTGCCTTACAACAAAACTAGCAGGATGTTCATGTTAAAATGGTGAGCTTTTGCTTTCATGCTAAAGTTAAGGTCATTAAAAGAGCTTTGCAGTTTCCCAAAGGAAATCCAGCCTGCTCTCCTCCTCTTTCTTCAACTCTAGACTCAACTCCTCTATCTTTTATGTCTGTCCCAGATAAACATAATAATGAACAAGCTATATGAGTTGTACATACAAAAGCATATTGTCATCTGTGCAACAGACTTTTTCATACCCTGGGTCTTTCTTGTGCAGATGATCAAGCCAAATTCCTTGAACTGGAAACAAAGTTGGTGTCCACCAACTGGCAAGTTTCTAGATAAAGTCGATCATGCATGTAGTAAATATTATTGCTCCTTAAAAATAATGAATATGAACAACTCAAAAGAGCATAGGAAACCTGAACTGGTGAAAAGTGAAACAAGTAGAACCAGGAAAACAATATGTACAATTACAACAATAACGTAAATGAAAAGAATAACAGCAGTAAAAAATAGTGTAAGCTGTACAATTAATGATTACCAAGCTTGGTCCTGGAGAAGAGATGAAAAAATGAACCTCTTTCCCTTCTTTACAATTGCAGGGAATTGTGGATGTGGGACGTTGCACATACCATCAGACTTAGTTGATGTGTTGGTTACTTTCAATGAACTGTTTCTTTTGTCTTTTTCTGTTCTTTGTTGTAAGGCACACTTGGTAAAAAGGAGAGAGGATAGATTGAGAGAGAAGATGAAGTAAAAACAAAAGTTATTCATAAAGAAGTTAAATTCAAAACAAAGTTTGGTAGGTTAACTTTAAAGGATCCCTGTGTTTTCCATCCCCCTAAACTGGCAATTTTGGCAAGTGGGGTAAACTGAATGCAATAAAAGTTCAAATTACTTTTTTTAGACATATTTAGTTGAGTGAGATAGGAATACAAAGACCTGTGAGGGAGAGTCTTCTAACATCATTCCATTTGGGGGAGTCAGCAATCCTAGGATAAAAATATAGATGCCTCCTTTGGGATAAAAATGCTGTGTGCTCTGACCCTACCAGTCCGTGGTGGATTTCAAAAGCATCCTGGCACAAATCTTCATCCCAGGAATGAAATTCTTCTAGCGACCTTAAGGTCTAAGGAAGAAGCTTCCTTGAAAAACTTGTTTCATTAACCCCTTTTCTGCAAGTTGTGAATTAGTCTTGCCTAGAACTAATGGACACATTAATACTTCGTTCAACCTCTGGCATAAGATCTTAGTGGTTTTTAATACTTGTCCAAAAATAGCTCTGTGCTTGTATTAATAGCTCTGACAGTTATATTTGAGGTTTTGCTTATCAATTTTTTCCAGTGCCCAACAGTCTATTAAGAGAACAAATCTTTTAAAAGAAGAACTGGAGGAACTGAAAATTAACTTGAATGTCTCAGAAGAGGAGAAAACCAAAATAGTAACTCAGAATAAACAGTTAGTAAGTGACCCAGTTACCTTTGAAATGGCAGAAATATGAATTGTGACTTTATGACATTTAGAAGAAAGGCAACTAGTCAAGCTGCTAGATTAGTAGAAAAAAAAAACAGAATATGGAACTAATCTTGCTAAGTTTGACCTGTATTTCCTACATAGCACTTAGTCATCAAACTATTAGTTATAAAGGTTTAGAATACTCACAGTCTATCTAGTATGAGTTTATGCTCCAGAGATAGTTGACCAAATGTTTGATACCTGAAAACCATTCAAATCTGATCATACCATTAATTTGCCTGTCAAATTTTCATCTCTTCACAGGATACCTACTAAAAGGGTGAGGTACTCTGGTACTTATAGGCTTCTTTTAGGTTTCACTAATTTGTTTTTTATTACAATAAGAATGCAAATTAGTGAAGGATTAAAGTTCTGGGGCACAAAATAAGTTAGCTAGACTAGCCTTTAAATCATGCTCTGGAAAAAAAAAAAACTATTTTTTACTAAGAACTTAAATTATTGCCTAGATCCAATATAGGTGTTCCATTTCAGATGGCTGTTCACTGCTATCATTTTTGTTTCATTTTTTTTTTGTCATCCCCCACCCCAACCACAGTACCTGTCAGATATTGAGTGTTTACTAAATGATAATTGACTGATGATCAACCTTTCAAGCTGGTAAAAAAAAATGTTTGCAGATTGACAAGACATTTTAAAATCTATCTTCAAGGCAACATGGTATAATGGAGAAAACATTTGTCAGGAAGTCAGAAGAATTAGAGTCCCTGCTCTGACACTAATTTGCTAGGTAACCTTAGGCAACATTACAAGGCCTCAGTTTCCTCATCTGTAAAATGAGGGAATTGAATTCTAGCTCAAAAACCATATGATTCATAGGACTTTATTATAGGGAAGATTGGCTTCACAAGTACTTTAGAATTCTGGGATGTACAAAGTACTACTACTTCAGTCTTCCTATATATGCCTTTGTACAATCTCTAATTTTAAAATCCTGGCTTATTGACTTTAATTCCCTTACAATTTGCATCTTGGAGTTTAGGAAGTAAACTTCTGATGCTCAGATTGTCACACAGAGTTGAACCTAGGAAATATGGAACTTAAAATAGGAAGTACAGTCATATGTGTTTTCAGGGTGCTTTTTTGACAGCAGAGTTCACTGCTACTTCTGGTAAAGCTATTGGGGGAAGAAATAAGGCCAGGGGATGCAGCTAAAGCAAACTACAGGTTTGGTTTTAAGTTTTTTGTTTTTTTCTCATTATCTTAGATATAGATAAAGCCTACAAGGAAAGATTTCCTCTTATTGGTCCACTAAGCTACCTGGACTTCTAGTAACTTAAGAGTTAACATTGCCTTCAGTGAAGTTTTAGATCTGCTACTACCTGGTGTGCTAATATCTTTAAAATTAGTTAAGATTCAAAATAGATACATCTTTATGGATTTTTGCAAATGTGTTGTGACATCTTAAACCACTGAAATGTTTTTAATTTTTTTCCCCCCTAAAATGAACCAGGAAAAAGAAAATCAGGCCCTGATTCTTAAGATCCAGAATCTTCAAGAGGAGGTATATTGAACAAATGAAACACTGGTACATACAAATGTAGGAAAATCACAGAGTGACTGAACACAGTAAAATTACTAATGGTGGGCATGTTAAGTCTTTCTGTATGGGCTACTGGTTCTGTCCATTTGTGGGGTGGTAACTGGAAAGGGTAGAATTTTTACATGTGGACTGAGAGAAAATATCAAGTCTCTGCCACCTCTGAGGAAATGAAAATTAGGGGAAAAAATGAAAGACTGTTGGAAATTCATTTATCTAGCATTGAAAGCAAGCCCCATTATGCAAAGAGGGACTCTTAATTATACTGTGAAATCTGAGAGGACAAAAATTGTTTCATTCTTCTTTTCATCCTTCACAGCACCTAACAGACCATCCTGTACTAACAAATTCTTAATAATTATTGGCTGAATGGATGAGTAAATAAGTAAATCTTAACTAATGAGTTTCTAATGTGTGGGATATATTAGAGCCATTGGATAAGAATATGAAGAAGTATTTTTAAAACATAAAAAAGGCAAGAGAATACTTAAATTTGCTATGACTTTTATGGAATGAACAAATTCCCTCTTAATAACCTTTGAACCTCAATCATGGTTAAATGTTTCTCATTTTGCCTGTGTGTAGCCTATCAACTTGAGGGCTACCATTCTCTGCTAAATGTTTTGGTGAGATATGCAAAAAATAAGCCAGGTATTTGATTGAACACTTCCTTTGTAGACTGGGTAAACTTTTGGAGAAGGACCCCACAATATTGTGTCAGTAGAACTGGTTTCCCTGTTTTTCTTTACAACCCAAATCTTCAAGTGAGACCCATTAGGTGTTAAGATGTCTAAGTAGGATCACTGGGTTATATTAAACAAATTTAAAGCTGTTTTGGGGGGGACAGGAGGGAGAGGTATAAGAAGAGGAAATGGAAAAACAATTTTTAAATCATTTTAAGATAGCCCCATAATTATCCATTAATATTAGGTAATATTTTCAGTTATGCCTGATTAAGTAGGGGGTTAAGAGAGATTGATTCACTGTGAAGAATAACATCCAAACTCATTTCTTTTATTTAGCTGGTAGTCATCTTCCTCTAAAAAAGTAGGCTTTGGTGACTTCCAATAGAAATTATTTACCAATACGAGAGTGAATATTAAAAGTATTTTACACAGTCATATTAGAGACATGGACAAAATTACATAGGGTTAAGAAATCATGGAGAGCTTGTGATTTCCATTGGTGAAACACCCATCCAGATTAAATTAAGAGCCATCAAAGTTTTATAAAGTAATGTCATCTTTCAGCTAGAGATGGCCTTAAATCCAAGAAAACCTGGGTTCATGTCCTGCTTCCTGACACATATTGGTTGTATGACCCTGGAGAGACCTCTTAATCTCTTAATGTTCTAGGCAATTAAGAGTACATTGCAGAGAAACTTCCAGCCTGTGTTGGCAGAGAAAATATGCTCACTCAAGAGTTCCCTATGCCAATGAAATCACAGGCTGTTATCTTATAAGTAATTTGAATCATTGAAGCTTCAGTAGTTTCATAACTTTGAAAGATTAATGTTTTCCTTCCGGTCAGTATTGTATACATATTTGTGTGTATTTTTTATTAGAATAAAAGGAATGTCATGGATATAGATAGATTGGAAAGGAAGATTGAAGAATTGACTAAAAGTGAGATTGAACACCAAGTAAGCACTTCCCAAATACTGGTAAAACATTTTCTTCTGATAGTGACACCTGCTGATATTGAAACTCCTGCCTTTAATTTTTATCATTGATGTTTCTCTACCAATTGTTTGAAAGCTAGGGGAGGAATTATTATTATTATAATTGTTTGAAAGAGTACCTAATCATTATAAATTGCTTCATATTCAGGATTATATAACTCATACCCCATAACAAGATGAATATGGTTATGGGACTTAGAAAACCTGCCATTGATAGCTCTGATAGAGGTCTGGAGGCTTTTCATATATCCTATGTATACATTATATGTGTCTAGATCTATAGTTTGTAGTAAACAGAAAGGAGCTATTTGTAAGTTCATTAATCTGAATCATCTTAAATTACTTAAAATTGTTTATTTGAACTGAAATCACCTTCCTTATAGTATATTAGCATCTATCTAAAATACGTATGAATTTCACAAATTTTATATTTCCTAGAAGGGATCCAGACTCCCTGTATATTTTCACATGATATTATTACACGATAATAGTCATGGGTATGTACTAAGTCTCTCTTAACAATGGGAATGACTGCCCCCATCCAATAGAACATCATTGGGATGCCAGTTTCTGAATTACTATTTGGTTTTTCCCTGTGTATGGACTGAAGGCCTATGTTCATTTTATGCAAATATAGAAGGATCATTTATATTCTGTTCTATTATTATATAGGTAAGCTTACTTGGAGCTTAAATAGTATTTAAATACCTTTGAAATTATCATTTCTGAAGAAAATCAAGGACATCCTTTTTTTTTTTAAGTTGTGCTTCTTACAGGTGACTCTGACCTGCAGGTGAAGAGGCAATTCTGTCTTACACTTGTCGCTTTGTAATAAATATGAAATATATAAATATATGTATACACACTATACAATACTTTCATTTTCACCGAGAAAGTGTGGGTTTTCTATCTATTCTATCTGTTCATATAGAACTATTGTTCCACCATGGAAAATTCCCTTTGCAGGAAATGAGATAGGTCTGAAAAAAAAAATCACAGTCTCAGAGTTAGATAGGACCTCAGAGGCCATCTAATCTAATTCAGTCCTGAATATGAATCCTCTCTACAATATCTACAGTAAGCAGTCATTCAGCCTTTGCATGAAGATTTCTGTGAGGAGATACTCATTACCACCTGAGACAACCCATTACACTTTGAGGGAGCTCTAAGTATTGGGTAATTTTTTTACCTTATATAAAACCTACATTTATCTCTTAGCATCTTCAACCCATTTCTCCTAGTTCTACTTATTAGGACTTCTCTTATGTAAGAGTTGTTCAATTACTTTAAGATATATCACATCCTCTCTAAGGATGGGTGACATGAGATGTTTTGCTGAGCTGGGTAATGTATCCTAAATTCTCTTCTTTTTCTAAACAATATTTGAGACACATACATCCTCAACTACATAGGTTGTGGCTGGGCCTCTGTCTTAGGACTTAGCACTGACCATATCATAATTATGTCAAAGGTTTTAGACTGTAAAAAGTCTTCGAAATCCATAAAAGGTAAAGTGAAATGATGCCAGATAGAAAATCTGTTCCAATTGACTGTGGTTTTTCAGTATGCCTGAATAAAAGCATTCCTGTAATGCTTTACATTTACATTTACATTTACATTTACATTTACATTTACAAAGCATCAAGTTAGCTGGAAAGAAAATAAACAAGACAGTCCTTTCCCTCAAGGAGTTTACTCTCTAAAGGGGGAAAGATGTATTTGTCACATGACCAGCAAGGTAGCAGATTAGTCACTTTCTCTAAACCTTTTCACAATCCTCCAAACCACCCTCTCAAAAAAAGACATATGCACCTGATGTAAAATAAGGACAACTTAACAGAAGATTGACTTTTAAACAAGGTAAACTCCTTTAATAATTAACAGTAGAGAATTGAAATACTTAAGAGTGTTCACTCAGCCCTCTTCCCCATCAGTCACTGTGTGGTACTGGCAGCAATAGAAACATATCCTAGGTTTTGTGCAGGGTCCCCTCCTAGGATAGAGACCCACATTGTTTCAGTGACCAAGTCTGAACAGCCCTTCACCTCCCACCTTATAAAGAAGCTATAGAAGCTGATGATGCCCAGTGAAGTGAAGGAAAGGAGGAAAGGAAGGGAAGCTGAAAACATGTTGCTTTTTGAGTGGGACTAGGCCCTAGGGTCAGGACTCCTGTAGCTACAGTGACTGGCCAGAACAACTCTGCATATGCCTACTGACCTTTGCTTTGGGGGTCTCTGAAGATGCGAAGATATAGCTATCCGTGACAAGCATGACATTCATTTGGAAGAGCATTTGAGGAAGGTCTAGCACCTAGCTGTGGCATTATTTCAGAATACTATGGAGAGGAACAAGAAATGGTTTTAACAACTTAACTGTTAAAAACTGTATTGGGGAGAATAAGGTCTTGCTATGAAATCTTGATGTGTTGGGGAAAACCCAAGATAGCACATCGACAGAGAGTCACCCCATACCAAGTGATGAAAAGAGTAGATATTCTACCAAGCTACAGAATTACTCTAGAGAATGATCAGATATTATGCATTTCAGTTATCTGTTGTCATTGGGAGAATGTCACCCCTACCCTTAATAAGTGTGTAGAGGGACAAGAATTCAGGAGAGACATGAGTTACATAATGCTATTCTTCCCTTCCTCCACAATTGCCTTTATTCATTCTGAATATAAACTCCTTGAGGGCATAGACTTTCATATTTATCTTTGTATCCCCAGTACCCAGCACAGAACCAGTATGTAATCAGCATTTAATAAATGTTTATTGTTTAGATAATTTTATAGCATTGTCATTCATGAAAGCGCTATTGTAGTTGAATTCAGCAGGCACTGTATTGAAGCTACAAAGATGAAAAATGACAGTTTCTGCCGTCAAGAAGCTTTCAAATTAGTGAGGAGTGAGACATGTTTATATTATATACATATACCATAGTCTAGAATGGGGGAAGTTCATAGGAGGGGGCAAACAGAGAAACATAAGAGGTTGAGAGCTCTCTCCTAATGAATAAAATTAGGTGGTCTAATCAGGGGAATGGCTTTCCTTCCATTTGTTTCCTTTTCAGATGAAACTACATATGTGTGAGAATGCTTTGCTTAATAAAGATGCAAGTCTGCATAAGGTTGGTTTAAAAAAAATAAAAGTTATGCTCTAGATTTGGGGAGAAAATAGCAAAGACAGAGTAAGTCATAATTTTTATTATGTACTAAAATAGTTTGTGTTCAATTCTAATGTCCTAAGACTTTTCTTTATATCATTTATGAAAAAATTTCCCTCAGTTCTCCTGGGATGAATTTAAATATGTCTCTATATTTTGAAAAGCTGGAGTACATTTCTTATAAGAACATAAATGTATACGTCTCATATTGCAATACTGGAGGGGAAAAATGTTTTAAGTTTTTGTCATTAAATGTTATACAGAATCAGATCATAGGATCATAGATTTAGAGCAGGAATGGACCTTAGTGGCCTCAAGTCCATTCCTTTCATTTTATAGATAAGGCAAGTAAAACACAGAAAGGCTGTGACTTGCCCAGAGTCACACATTTAGTAAATATTTGAGGCAATATTTCAAATCATGTGTTCCTAACTCCCAAGTCCAGTGCCCTATCCATAACTCCATTGGGTGAACCTGACTCTGCTTAGTATTTTAACTTAACTCTGTTTTGGTGATCTTTGATCATCTTCCTATGAAAGATTCTGGTGAGAGATGACTTAAGGTGGCCAGAAAAGCAACAGGAAGTGCACGACCAAAGCAAGAGGTCTTCTGAACAATGAACTCTAATGTGAACTCTTTGTGAGCAGGAACTGTTTTTACCCTTTCTTATTTCCCCAGCACTTAGAACAGTGCCTGACACAGAAAAAGCACTTAATAAATGCTTGTTGACTGACTGATAGAGGAAAAGCCAGTGGCAATGGAACAGTGTTTGATATTTTTCCTTGTTTTTCTTTAAGAGAAAGGAAGTTTTAAAGGTCATACTTCCTCGAGGAGTTTGACTAGTATACTGACCAGAGTACTAACCAGAAAGCCTTTGGAGATGAAGTACATTGATTGGTTTCTTGTCACTGAAGGAGAATCAAAACATCATAACCACCTTTGCCTTCAATCTCTGCCTTATGGCATTAAGATATTTCTATATGTCTCTGCTTATGTTATCCCTGACTTTTATTTTCCAGTGTGAATAGAATGATTTCAAAGGAGGGGCAAATTGATATTGTTAGTGTTAGGTAAATAATAAATATTTTTTGGGTGCATATATAACTTGATTTCATCTTGAATTCAGTTACAATAACTGTAGTTTGGAACCTGAACTTGTGGGAATGTCTTTTGCAACAGAACTACTTTTTGCTCTGATTTTTTTTTTAGGCAATTGGGGTTAAGTGACTTGCCCAGGGTCACACAGCTAGTAAGTGTCAAGTGTTTGGTCTGAGGCAGGATTTGAACTCAGGTCCTTTTGACTTCAGAGCCGGTGCTCTATCCACTATACCACCTAGCTGCCCTCTGATTTTTTAAAAATGTGCATGTCACTAGACAGAGTCAGAGAAAAATATGGCTAAAGGGAAAAGGATATTTTACTGTTATTATCTTTTTTTTTTCTTGACTCAATCTGTGATTTCATTGGTGTAGAGAATTCCCAATGATGAAACTACCTTCACCAATGTAAGCTGGCACCTACTCAGAAACTTAAAAGTCATAGAGAATTTCCTAGGGGTATTAAGAGTTTAAGTGACTTGCCCAAAGTCACACCCATTATGTGTCAGAGACAGGACTTATTGACTCTGAAGCTGGCCTTCTAACCACTACACCATGCTGCCTCTTCTAGACTAAATCTGTTTGTATCCAGAGCATGTCTAGAATTCAAATGCAGAACTTCTGAACTCTTTTGGTTCATAGTAAGTAACTAGTGTTTTAGTTTTTAAGCCATAAGCCTGGCAGTGAGTCTCAGGGTAAGTAGGCAGATTCAGTTCACCTGGTACTGTAGGACTTAATTACTAATGAAGGTTGATGAGTTAGTCTATTAGACCTTTTACTATTAACTCTCTGTTCAACCTTACAGAAAGATTTACACATGGAAGATCTTAAGTCAGTCCTTGTGGAATACAGCACAGCCATAGAGGTAGCACAGTTGCTTTTATCACTGGAGAGCTTAAATGTGCTTTTAAGTAACTGCTGACAAAGTAACTCAACTCATATTTATTATGCCTGTGATTCTAGAATTTACGAGGGGAGAAAAATCAGCTGGTGCGTGAGTTGCAGCAATCAAAACAGGAGCTTCTATTGTAAGTATACTCTAACTTCATTCTTTTGACCTGGAAAACAACCAATAACATCCCAAAGCAGTCAGTCTGTTGTGCTTTGTTTGTTTTGCTTTTAAGAAATGGATTCCACTGGCATGTCAATGGGCAGCTTTACAGGGGCATTCCTGAAGGCCAGAAATCATTGCACTCTGAACTTATACTTGTTCAGTCTACAGAGGTATGCACTTCTGAGTTAAAACTTTTCAAAACTGGTAACACCTATCTGGGAGCTTAAAGTTCAATGTCTCCAGTTTACTGAACACAAAACCCTGCCCTTTTTTTTTTTTTTAGAATTGGTCAATGATGCTTATTCTGTAGATGAAAATGCAATGTAGGCTGATTGACAGTCTTCCAATTGCAGATAAATTTTATGCTTAGACCTTAGTTAAAGGTTTTGTAGAAGTATTTACTTGGTATATTAAGACATGCTTGCAAGATAGTTTTCTTTCACTGCCTTTAAAGGGCTTTCTAAAGGAAGCTTTAACTAAATAGTGTAGTAAAGTACTAGACTTGGAGTCAGTTCAAATCCTAGCTCAGATGCCTACCAGCTGTGTGTGACAATCTGCCACTGTGATACTTGCCTTTCATCCTCCTAGACAGCTAGGCCAGTTTACCAGCCCAATAAACCTTTCTGTTTCTAAATGTAACCATAAAGCCCTGAGTCACTTTATGAGATAAGATGAGCTACCTTATAGCCAATTGCTGCAGGTTTGTGCTCTGTGAATCTTTTCTAGGGAAAAAGAATTAAATTAGCCATTGCGATATTTCCAAAAGATTTGAGGTAGGAAGAAGAGAGACAGATGGAGACCTAAAAGCTTTCTACTCAGACTTTCATGTATAAGTTAGTCAACAATAAATATTTCAATGGCAATAAGTAAAAATAAATAAATAACGATCCTGCAAATTTTTGTTTTATTTCCTCCTCTAGTTTAAAAACTGAAAGTAGCTGCACAGGATTTTAGGTCTACCCGTATATAAAATTATGAAGGATCCTGCTGTTTCTTGAATCAGTACCTTTTCCTCCCTGTCCTTCATGTGGACTCTCCAGTCAACAAGCACATTGTCCTGTTGGGGAGGGTATCACAATGCCACAGAATTTCTAAGTTGAAATGGATGATAAGACGATGGATCCAGAGCTAGTAGGATCCTCACAGACCATCTAGTACAATCCATGCCTGAGAATCCCCCTAACATACTTTCACATTCTCTCTCTCTCTCTCTGTTTCTCTCTCTCTTTCTCTCTTTCTGTCTCTCTCTCTCTGTCCCTCTCTCTCTCTCTCTCACACACACACACACACACACATTCGCTCGCGCACACACGTGTTCATACTTTTGAAGCTTGTCCAACCTCTCCTTTAGGCATGAGGTAATTGACACCCCAAGAGGGAAAGTGACTTTCACAAGGACACAGATAGTAAGTGTCAAAGCTAGAATATAAACCTAGGTCCTTCAATTTTAAATCCAGCTTGTGTTTGAGGCCAAATTTGAACCAGGGTCTTTCAGACACTAAGCCTAGTGCTCTTTCCACTGTATTGCCTAGCTGACACTATGTTACAGTCCACTTGAGTAGTTCAAGTATGAAACAGTTACAAAACAACATGGAAGTGTAAAACATTCATCTTTCTTATATGCATACAAAGAAGCAGATTGGTGCAGTTGAAAGGATGCTGATTTGGAATACGGGAGATGGGGTCAAATCCCAATTCTATACTTATTATTTGTATAACTTTGTTAATCACCTGACTTTTCTGCACCCCAGTCTTCTAATCTATAAAATGAGGACTCTAGACAAAATGGCTTCTGTGGTCTCTTCCAGCTCTTAAACTATGTCTCTGTGATTCCAAGTATAGAAGAGACATAAAAAAGCTCCTAAGGAGAGAGGAGTTTTGAGCTGTATCTTGAAGGTCCTGAAAGACAACAATTGATAAAAGAGTAGGAAGAAGGAAAGGGCATTCCAGCTTGAAAAAAATGTCATTGAGTAGTCAAGTCAATGAGTATTTATTAAGCACTTGTTATGTGCCAGGCACTGTGCTAAGCACTGGGAATACAAATACAAGCAAAAATACAAGTCCTGGCCTTCAAGGAGCTTACAGTCTAATGGGGGAAGATTACACAATAGGAGCTAAAAAAGGGTAGGACAGAGAGGGTGAAGGAGCATAATAGAGAAAGTCTTGTGGAGATGAGTTAGCAGTTGAGTCTGGAAGGGAACGAAGACATAGCTGGCATAAGCTTCTTCCTTAAAATGTCTGCTTTTGGAGGAACCAGACAATCAGAGGGAGAGACCACAGGGGCAGAAGGGTATTTCCAATGTAAGAAATATTCCAGGTGTGGACTGAGCTTCTAGGGTGAAGACATTTCTGTGGCACGGTAGAGAAAGTCCTTTGGGAGATGAGTCAGTGGTGCAGCCAGGAGAGGGAAGAAGAACAGTGAAGTGTGTACTTGGAAAGAGTCAGACAGGGAATAATTGGCTTGACTCGATCAGATGAGTCAACATGGAAAGTAATGAGGGGGTTATGTAGGTGGTGACAAAGGGGAACTAGCTAATAGAGAGCATGATGCTGAGGGATACCTATTTCATATATTTGATAATAAAAGCCAGGATCAATTCTTGAGCAGAGTTACAAGAAACATAACACTAGTAGCTCAAGGAAGATTACTAGAGCATGTACATGCAAAGATGGGACCAAATGAAGTAAGTTCCTTTCAGCTGGGAGGCGATCCAAGAGGATGCTGGGAGGGGATCGAAGAGAATACTGTCTGGTTTAGGTACCTGCTCACTTGTTAACCTTCAGGAAGACTTCTGTTAAGAAGATAAAATAAACACCTGACTGAAGTTATAATAGCTGCAGTTTAAATAGCTTTAATAGGATTATTAGTTGGAGTTATTTCATGTTTCAAACTATACTGACTTATGAAAACAACGCTATTAAAACAAAAGTAGCAAGTATCCTTTAAGAGAATGACTTTTTGTTAATGGGGGGGGTTTGGGGTGGGCATTGGCTTCAGGTCAGTGGATCAGAATGGTTATACAGTTCAATCAACTCACCATCTCTGGATGACATAATGGACAAAGAGAAGATGGTGTTGCTGAGAAAACCCCAACAAACAGGAACAGAATTTACTGCTACCCTTCAGAAATTGGTATGGTACAAAGCATAGATTTCACTTTGCCTTAGAAAAATCACACCCCCCCCAAATCCTTTTAATCTTTCATTTTATTTGTTAAGAGACCAAAAAGCAGTGTGGTACAGGGGACAGATAGTGGGCCTTAAAATTAGAAAGACCATTGTCTAAGTTCTACCTCAAACATATACTGATCATATGAACTTGGGTAAGCCATTTAGATTTTTGGTGCCCAGAAAACTCCCTTTAAGATTGCAAATTGCCAGTCTTCATTGATGGAGAGAATTTGCTTACTGAGTAAATTCACCAATGAAACACAGATCTTGACCAAAAAAATAAAAAAGGTAAGAGTCCATATTCCTGAACAGAACAGAACTCTGCTATGAAAGAGACATTTTTTTCCTCTAACCTTTCTGAAGTCAGTGTTTTAATTCTGGATCAGTCAGCTTCATATCCCACTTTTTATTAACATGACATTCTTCTACTTGGACTGATTTTACTTGGAGAATTCTCTGGTAGCTATTGGCTATCACCTCTTTCCTTTGTGTTGATTTTTCAACTGAAGCCACTGATGTTGTAACTTAGCATTTTAAAGGGATCTCCTCTCAAAGGAAAGCATTTTGCCCCTCTTTTATATGGCAATAGGGTGACCTTTTTTTCCACTCCCTGAAGGTGGTCCTAGTTTGACTTGTATATTATTAAGGGAAACAAACTTTTTAATGGGTGAGACTCACCAAGTGCAGACAGGCTCTCTTTGGTGTCCGACTGAGTGGTTTAAGTAGCATCATCAGAAGCACCTAATATACCCTCTGGATTTTGTCCTAAATTACTTCTTGCTACAAAACAGCATGTGTATCTCACCTTAATTACTAGTTGGAGGTTTGGAAATCTCTTACAGCAAGAAGAAGTCTCTGAAATTGAAACGCTTATTGCTGCTTCTCTTCAGTGGGTAACTGACCCAGAAATAAATGTGAAGGAAAAATGGGAAGACAAGCTTACAGCAAGTATCCTGTGTTTTGTGTTCTGTGACTCTTCCAGATGTTTCTCTTTCTTTATAAATTATTTGAATGTAATGATTCTTAATGACCATGTTTGATTTGGGTCTTCCGCTTCTACTGTTAGTCGGATCTATTTTATATATCTTTAGTTCTACTTCTGAGAAGGCAGGTTAGCTAGTAGGTGGAGACTTAATCCCTCTAACTTACATTTTCCTCCTATACCATCCCAGCTGATGTTCTTTCTTTTATAAACATTTTTAATTATGAAAGACTATTTTATTACTCAAAATTGTTTCCATTAGAAACCAATTCTCTCTCCTCCTACACTACCTCCCCTGCTCCCCTAGGAAAAAAAAAAGAAAACCCTTCTAACAAAAATGCATAGTCAAATATAACAAATTCCACCACTACCCATGTAAAAAAAAAAAATCTCTTTCTTCACCTGAAATCTATCATCTTTCTGTAAGGATATGAGTAGTATGCTTCATCTCTGCTCTTCAAAGGCAGCTAAGTGGTATAGTGGTCAGAGTGCTGAACATGGTGTCAGGAACACCTAAGGACAAATCTAGACTCACTTACTAGCTATGTGACCCTGGGCAAATCACTTAACCTCTATTTGCCTCAGTTTCCTCAACTATAAAATGGGCATAATAATAGCACCTATCTTGCAAGGTTGTTGTGAGGATCAAATGAGATATTTGTAAAGTGCTTAGCACAGTGCTTTACACATAGTAGGCACTTAACAAATGCTTGTTTCTTTCCTCTGGAATCATGGTTAGTCATTATGCTAATCAGTACTATTAAGCCTTTCAAAGTTATCTTTTTAATGCTGTTGCCATTGACTGACAACAGTGAGATAGATGCTTCTGCTCACTTTACTCTGTGTCAGTTCATATAGGTCTTCTCAGGTTTTTCTGAAATTGTTCCTTTATATCATTTCTTATGACATAATAGTATTCCATTACATTCACACATTTTTTGGAAAAGAAAAAGAATATGGTCTTTTTGTAAGAGAGACAATGGTTTTAAAAATGTTTTAACATATGGCCAATTCAATCTGTAATTTCTATCCTGACCCACTAAAATTCCCTGGCACAGTGGAAAAAAGAATCATTCCTGAAGACAGAACACCTGGGCTTTGATAGCCAGCTCCAACACTTAGAACTGTGTGATCTTCAGCACTAATGTTGGAGATACAAAGAAAGATGCAAAACAGTCTTTATGCTCAAGGAGCTTACATTATATCAAAGGAGACATGTTCACAAGGCGATTTGTGAGAAAAAGGAGACTTAGCACTTGCAGGGAGGGTCGGGGATCAGGAAAAGGTTTATATAGAAAGCACTCAAGCAGAGTCTTGTCAGAGACTAGGGATTCTAAGTGGAGGTGAGGTGGTAGTGTGCTCTGTGCATGGGGAACAACCAGTGCAAAGGCCCAAAGATGGGAGATGGATTACTGTAAGTACCAGCAAGATGGTCATTTTAACTGGCCCATAGATAATGTGAAGGAGAGTGATGAATAATAGGGCTACAAAGGTTTGAAAGGGGGTTGTGTTTGTTCCTCTGATTAAATACTATAATTTATTGAGAAGAAGAATGACACTTTTTCCCCACACAATTACAAAATATTTTTCCAGAAAGACTAGACCAGTTCACAATTCTACAAATAATATATTACTGCATTATCTTCTTTTATTTGCTTATATGGTGTTTTGAGATTGTATTCATACAGAGGAGCTAGATGATACAGTGGATAGAATATCAGACTTAGAATCAAGGAGACAAGAGTTTGAATGCAGCTTTAGAGTCTTTTAAGCAGTGTGACCCTGGGTGAGTCACTTAACCTTTTTTTTTTACCAAGGTTTCCTTATCTGTAAAAGGAGATGATGATAATAGTCTGTATCTCCCAGAATTGTTGTGAGAATAAAATGAGATAATACTTATTAGAAGATTGGGGGGAGAGAGAGAGAGAGAGAGAGAGAGAGATGACATGCAACTCAGCAAATGCTTGTTGAATTTGGGTAATTATTAATCAGTCTCTTAGTGATGGGAAATTAGTTGTAGGCTTAAATATAGTTACTGAGGCATCTTGAGATAGTGAGTGCCACCACAGAAAAGCCAAGAGCATTTTACACTGACTATGTGATTTATTCCTCTTTAGCTATGTGTGACGCAGAATTTTGTTTTGTAACTTTCCTTGTAGGATCTCAGACATGACCTAGAAACAAAGCTAAATCTCTGCATTCTAAAACTGAGCCTCTTGGGAAACTACAAAGAATCTCTTGATGAACAGTTTCTTAAAGTGGTAGGGAATCTGAAGAGATCCGAGCACAAATATCACCATGTCAAGAAAGAATTGCATTTCAGGTAACGTTCATTAATTTTTTTAAGAAATCTGTGCTTCATATGTATAACTAATTTGTAAGTCTCTGATGTGGCCTTCATTTTTCTTCATTCAGGTTATAAAAATGTGACTTGTTCTCATAAAACCTTTTATTTGCCGAATGTGACATGTTATATAATTAATTTACAAGTTCTAATATGTGAGCAATAAATGTCCAAATTACAGAGATTATAATTTCATTCCTCTACAACAGGAACTTTACAATCATAGAATAGAATTTTTAGACTTAAAAGTAGTAACAAAGATCACAGGTCGATAGATCGGACCTGGAATTAGCATTGGAGGTCATCTAGTCTAACATTCTTATTTTACAGATAAAGAAACTGAGGACCAGACAAATCCTCAAAGAAATTACATTCTAATGGAGGAAACAACATCTACATACATTGGTTCATAAAAGATAAATATAGAAGAGATGGAAGCATAAAAAAGAAAGGCACTAGCAGCTTCAGGGACTGGGAAAGCCCTCCTGCAGGATGTGGTGTTTGGAGTAAGTTTTAAAGGAAGCCAGGGATTCCAAGAGTTGGAAATTATGAGAGAGAGCATTTTAAGCATTGAAGACAGCCACTGCAAAGGTGCAGAGACTGGATATGAAGTACTGGGTGGGAGGAACAGCAAGTAAGCCAATATGGCTAGAAGTAGAGTGGGTAGAGAAGATAATGGGTTAAAATTTCCTGTAGACTGGATTAAAGAAACTGCTGGAGTAGAAAGTTCCTTCTCTTCCTACAGTAATATGGGTTCATTGCAAATATGACTTTTGGAAAGTAGGACACCCTACTGGACTTGGGATTTTTATACTCTTAGTGACTAGGAAGCCATGTAAAAGCTCAGACTCTCATCCCCTGGACCACCAAATCTTAGAAACGGCTCCTCTGCTTTTTAGGGAAATATTAGCCCAGCCCACATGGCAGGGACTCTAATAGATGTTGCCCCTACCACAGCCAGGCCCTAGTTTCTTTGTCAGTAAAACAATAGAAGGTTAAAAGAAGATTAAATCTTCCAGCTCTGGTAGGCTATGTGTATATTCTATAGAACAATTTAGCAAACATTGATTAAGCACCTATTATATGGAAAGAAGTTGGGAATACAAAGACAAAATGAAATATACTTCTTGCACTCAAGGAGCTTATATTCTATTGGGGGACACAGTATATTCACAAATAAGTAAATCATTTTCAGAGAAAGAGATAACATTTACAGCTAGGAGGATCAGGAAAGGCTTCCACATCTGAAGCAAGCCTTGAATGAAGTGAAGGATTCGGAAAGGTAGAGATGAGAAAGGAGAATATATGCCAGCATTGCTTCTGTAAAGTCATGATGTGCAAAGTGAAGTATTGAATTCAAGGAAGAGCAAGTAGTCCCATTTTGCTCGAATGTAAATTTGTGAAGAAGTGCAATAAGTCTACACGGGTAGGATCATAGGATTTATTTATTTCCAGCTGTAAGAGACACTAGAAGTCATCTAGTACAGCCTCCTCCTTTTAGAGATGAGGACACTGAGGCCCAAAGAAGTCAAAAGGCTTGTCCAAGATCACAAATGTGAACAGAGATGGGATTTAAGTTCAGGTTTTCTAGCTCTCATTCAGTGTGGAGCCAGAGCATAAAGGATTTTAAAGACCAACATGAGGAATTTGTATGTTAAACTAGAGGCAAACATTTGGTTTCTCTGAACTTAAATGTATGTAGAGCTCATAATTATATGACGAAAGCAGCCAGGAACATAGAATTCCATATTTGAAGGAGATAACTCAAGAAAGAACATTTTCTTTTCCCCTTAGAGATAAGGGACTGAGAATACCAGAATGAGCATGTAAGGCATGGATCTTCTGTTTTCCCTGAAGAGCAGGGAGTCCAGACTTCCTCTTAGCAGTGGGTGGTGTGGGTATATGACTTCCTTAGAGAGACACCATCCCCCTCTGCTAGGGTTATCATTATTCCCCTTTCAAGCAGTTAAGAACAGTGAAGAGAAAAGTACAGGCAAGACTGGGCCCCATTAGAAATCAGCCCAAGTATACAGATCTCCTGTTACATTAGACTTGAGGAAGTGTGGTATAATGGAAAGACTTGAAGAAACCTGAATTTGAATCCCATTTCTGCTGCTGACTAGATGTATGTTCTTGGGCAAGTCTGCAAAACAACAAGATTCTCTTTCACATCTGAAAATGGGGCATTGGTACTTGAGCTTCCCACGGTTGATGATTATGAGAAAAGCTCCTAGTAATACAAAATAAATACATTTTAATAGTATTATTTGACATCAAATGAGTTCATTTTAATGCTCATTAACTCATTACAGTCTATTTGTAAAAGTTATATCATGGAATATATTGATTTAATGCCCTTCTGAGTATGACCCTGTGTTACATAGTTACCATCCCTTCCCTTACAGGTAGCTAGGTAACACAGTGGACAGAGGTCTGGCCCCGGAGTCAGGGAGACGAGTTCAAATATGGCTTTAGTCACTAGCTGTGACCTTAAGCAAGTCACTTAACCTCAGTTTCTTCAACTGTAAAATAGGAATAATAATAATACCTACTCCCGAGAGTTGTGAGAATCAAATGAGATATTTGTAGTGTTCAACACAGTACCTAGCATAAAACAGATGCTTAATAAATACTAATTACCTTCCTTTTTCCTACTCTCCTTCCTTCCTTCTTTTATTAAAAGATTGACTAAGAGAAAATGGAAACCTAAAAATATAGTTCATTTCTAGGTTTCAAACAGATGTGAGCAAAAAAGTTCTAGTTTCCATGTAAGCACATATTAACTATGACAGTCTTTATTTCACCCCAAAGAAAATGTCAAAAACAAAAAAAAAAATACAAAAGACTTATGGTAGCTCACCAACAGGAGATACAGTTCTCCTTCCCTTTCTGGAGAGTGCCCTTCACAAAAACAGGAAAGGCCTCCCAGCTTTACAGTTTTCTATCCTGAGGGTTTAGACTCTCCTTGGAAAAGAAACTTGCTCCTGTAGTGTGTAACAGAGGAAAAGAAAGGTGGGCGTGTTCTAACATACACCCTAGATTTATGGAATTCCAGGTTTCAGTGGAAGGATATGTATAATGCCATGTACCTAAAGTGTGAACAAGAGGGACAACAGATGTCCAATCATGAAATTCAGAAAACACAAAGGAAACATTTTCATTGAGGAGGAAAAATAGAAGCTATCTAGAGAAACTAATGTGGATGAACAGGGAACTCAAACCAAGTAGGATTTTAAAAAGAAATTTACACAATATGGAAATAGGAATAGGTGACAAATGATGTGTCACATAATACTGGAAGAATAGGAAGAGGAATGCTGAAGCTCAGAATGAACTGAGATAGATGAGGAAAGCAAAAGATGATAAAAAGGTTTTCGGTTTTCTAGCTAACTTGAAAGGAGAGAGGAAGAACAAGGAAGGAGATAGGACTGCTTTTTGGGCAGGATGAAGCAATGGTAACTGATAATAGAAAAGTGGCAGAGCTATTCCATTTTTATTTTGCTTCGCCAGGTAGTACAATCCTTGGACAGTAAAGGACTGAACAAAATTGGAGTTATAGCCAATATAAGGAATATACCCAATATAAGGAAAGATACACTAAGAGAGGCTATTTGCCCAAATGACCTACATCAGGTACTGAAAATGATAGACCTATTACCAGTTATCACCATTTGAAAGACCGTGGAGAACAAGAGAGATGCTATGGGACAGGCAAAAGGTAACTGCCCTGATTTTTTTTTTAAAGGGGAGAGAAAAGAGTTTGTAGTTTATAAGCCATGAGTCTATGAGCTTAACTTTTATTCCTGGGAAAATTCTAGAATGAATCATTAAGTAGATGTTTAATTAACAGCTCAAAAATATCATTTCTCTTTAAAAATAAAAATAGAATATTTACCTTTCTCCAGACCCACAGTATTGTTCAATTCAACTCCATTCTCTTTGATCTTTCACATATTAATAAAAGTGACTCAACAATCACATCTAATATTTCTGCCAGTCCCCAAGGATGCAATTCATCTGATTCAGGTGATTTGAATACATCAAGGGCTATTAGATACTCTCTTATTATATTTTTCCTTAATTGGGTATCAACTCACTCTTACTGAGGTGATTATTATAACATTTGTAACAAAAAAAATTTTTAAATAGGTGGTAATTATAAAGAGCAACATAGGTTTATTAAGAACAAGTCAAAATAATCAGTCATATTTTCTTTATGTACAAGATTAACCAACCAATAGATCAGAATTTCTGTTTTTTCTTATATCCCTTCTAGATTTGTAAAGCACTGTGTTCATGATGCCCTGGTGAGATAGGTATTGCAATGATCATAATCCCTACTTCACAGATGAGGAAACAGTGACACTGAGAGGTTCAATGACTTCCTGACTATCTGTTCAACCTACATTTTTTAAAATTTTATTTTATTTTTTGTTATATTTGAAGTTCTGAACTGTCTCCCTCCTTCCTTTCATACACACACATATTATGTATATGTATATATATATATATGCGTGTGTAAATATATATATGTGTGTGTATATATATACATACACACATATGTGTAAAACCATACCATGCATACTTCTATTTATCAGTTCTTTCTCTGGAGGTGGATAATATCTTCCTTCATAGATCTTTTGTAGTTGATTTGAATATTTATAATGCTCAGAACGGTTCAGTTGTTCCCAGTTATTCATGGAACAGTATTGCTGTTATTATATACAAAGGTCTCTTGGTTCTGCTCATTTCACTCTTCATTATTTCATGTAAGTCTTTCTATGTTTTTCTAATATTGCTCATTGTTTCTTACAGCATAGTAGTAGTCCATCACAGAATTTCATAGATGCAGTTTGCCTAGATTCTAGCAAAGAATTTAATAATGAATCTGATACAATTTATTCTTCTGAGCAAACATAGAGAGACATGAGTTAGATGATGGTATGATCCCATGGATTTATAATTGGTTGGTGGAACTCACAGTAGTCAATGATGGTTTATTGTCAATGTGAAAGATATCCATGGAATAATTCTAGAGCTCAGTGCTTAGTCCTGGGTGATATAACAGTTTTATCAATGACACAAGGCTGGGAGGGAGAACTAACTCAGTGGCTGACAGAGGCAGGGTCCAAATAAATAATGAGAGGTTGGAGAATTGGGAGCTGAATCCAATAAGGTGAAATGCAGCAGGAATAAATGTAAAGTCTGACACAATTCAAGAAATCACTGTCATAGGTATAAGATGGGGGAGGCATAATCAGATAGAAATTTGAAAAAAGATGTAGTTTTTTTATTAATTGTAAACTAATTTGAGAGAAGAGTCTGATGTGGCAGCATCCTTAGGTTGCTACACAGGCATAGCTCCTGAGAATAAAAAGGTGATAGTTTTTCTGTACTTTGCCCTGGTCAGGCCACATCTGGTCAACTGCATCCAGATCTGAGGAGCAAAGTACAAGAAATTGATTAGGTGGAGAAAATACAGAAAAGGGAAAGCAGAATGGTTAAAGGAAGGATGGAAACAAGGATTTATTAAGTGCCTACTATGTGCAACACACTGTGCTAAGTGTTTTACAAATACTGCCTCATTTGATCCTCACAACAGCCTTCCGAGGTAGGTGTTCTTATTATCCCCATTTTAAGTTGAGGAAACTGAGGCAGACAGAGGTTAAGTGACTTGCCCAGAGTCACACATCTAGGAAGGATCTGAGGCTGGATTTGAACTTGGGTCTTCCTGATTCCAGGCCCAGTGCTCTATTCACATCCTGACCTCACTGCCTCAAAAGCCTTGAGATTGTGCCTTATTGAAGGAACCAAGGATATTTAACCTGGTGAAGGAGAATGGTAGGAAGATCATAGCTGTGTTCCAGTATTTGAATACAGTCATATGAAAATAGGATTAGACATGTTCCATTTGGATCCAAAGGGCAGAATCAGGAACAATGGGTGGAAATTAAAAAAAAATTTGGATTAGATGTCAGGAAAAACTCTCAGCAATTTGAGCTATTCCTAAGTGTGATGGACTGTTTTAGGAGATAAGTGTGCTTGGAGATCTTCAAGCAGAGGCTGGATGACTATTTGTGGGTATGTTGTAGTGGGGATTCCTTTTGACTTATAGGTCAAGTCAAGTCAACAAGCATTTATTAAGTGCCTACCACTCAATGGCCACCAAAATCCCTTCCAGCTTTAAAATTATGGGGTGGTTAGATAAGCAGTCCTTTGGTATTCCAGTAAGTTCTACTTCCATCCTTATGGAAATATATAAGCCTATGGCCTTCAGTAGTATCCTGAGTCTTTGTATTCCTCTGGAAAGGGAGCAAACTTGACTTTGCTAGAGAAGCAAGGCCCTGTGGCCCTGAGAACTGGGTTTCAGGTTTTGGTCTGTTTCAGTGGTTTTTGTCAGTTCTGGGCACAGGCTCCTAAACCTGGAGCATGAGCCAGGGTAACCTTGGAGTTAGGATTGCAGGAGGAATGTTGCTGCGAGCCAAGCAGGGAATCCCCAAGAAGCCAGGGTGTCATGAGGCATTGTTCAAAGGACTGTGGTGGTAAAGTTTTGTTTTGTTTATTTGTTTAGTTTTTTTTGTGTGCATCTATAAATATATATATATATATATATATATATACACACACACACATACATATACATATATATGTATATATATATGTGCATGTGTGTGTGTATTGGTTTTTGCTTTCTCACTGCTCCTTCACCTCCTCCACATGCTAGTTTCTTCCTCCAGGAACTTTGGATACTCCTCTGGAAGGCTAGTTTCAATTCTATTCAGTCACATTTCCTCTTTGTGGCTGCCCCCTCTCTGCCCCTCAGTCTGAGAGGTTTTGCCATTGCCTTTCTGTAGGCGGATTTAGAAAATGGGTCCAGGAATTCTCCTTCTATTGCAGGAGTTTAGGTTATATGGATCCATTTTCTCCTGGGACCATGTGGCTGAGAAACTTTGTTCTGTTTTCTCTATGTCCCCTTTCTCTCCTGAAGACCCAAGTCTGTTTTCCAGGACTTCTACCTCTACCCTAATTCTCTCTCTTTAACTGTCCAGATTGTATATCTCTGGATCTAAAGGCATAGGCAATAAGGCACCATTAAAGGGTTTTGAGCATAGTAATAACATGATTACATCTATACATAAGAAAGATGTCTGGCACAGTTTGAAAGATAGACTGGAGAGAGGAAAAAATAAGGGCAAAATGTATTTCAAGAGAGTATTGCAATAAGTGATTCATAATGGTCTGTACTAAGGTGGTAGGAGTGCCTAAGTGCAAAACCTAAGAGGAAACTCTGAGGGAAATATGACTAGTGATATAATCCTTCCTCTCAAGGAGTTTATTGTCTAAGAAGGGAACTAAGATACACAAATAACTACAATATCAAATAGCACATAATAAGGACAAATAGCACATAATAAAAGAAATATAAACAAATAAGCTATGAGCTCCAAGCCAAGGGAATCATGGAAGGCTTCAGGTAAGAAGTGCACTTGAACTAGTATTTGAAGGATGAAAAAGATTTTAGTAGGAAGAGGATGGGGAGATTCCAGGCATGTGGAATAGTGTAAGTAAAGGTGTATAGGGAAGTAGAGAAATTGCTCTAGAATCAGTGATGAGTAGGTCATCGAGCCTGAGCATAAAGTAAGTGGCAGAGGAGCATGTGTGGACAGATTATAGAAGGCTTTGAATGGCAAGTTGGAGAGTCTGAAGTCTATGGGAAATTAGGAACCTTTGGAGATTTTTGAGCAAAGCAATGATGTTAATTGAGCTATATATTGGGAAGATTGATTTGTAAGTCTTGGATAGAACGAATGGAAGAGGGAGAGACTGAAGGTAAAAGATTGGTAAGGAAACTGTTAGATAAACAAATATGAAAAGTTCTGTGGTAGGAAAGTGCATTAATCTTTCCTTACAATTTGAAATTTTCTAGTTGACCTAACCTCTTTTAGAATAGAAAAGTGCTTTTTTAAGGGAGAAGAGGTCTAGATCTGTGATATTATTGGTGTTAGAAACAACCCCCCCCCACACACACCTCAATTCAGGTCAACAACTCATTTGTAATTCTTATTCTTAGAATTTGTAATTCTATTCTTAAAAATATGACCCTCTAGGGCTGAGAGGTAAATTGACTTTATCATCTTCATAAGACTAGTGTGTATTAGAGATGGGACTTGAACTCAGGTTTTTCTAATTCCAAAACTGCCCTTCCATACATTATGTCATGTAACTCAAAAGACAAATGATACCTGTGCTAGCTTTTATATCCCAATTGGGCATTCTGAGGGACCACCTAGCTTTTTACAGATCCATTGGAGATCCTATGGGCATGAAAGAAGCTGATACGATCAGGGCAATACACAGCAAAAAAATAAAACTGTGGTGTCATCATATGCAAAGATGAAGCCACTGACTCATCATCAGTAGACTATGTAATTTCAAGAAGTGCTAATAGTTTTGTACTATGCTTTCTTTGTAGCAAACTTTCTGGTTTTCTTTGTAACCAAGACTGACTTTCTACATGGATGAAATAGGTAGCCAACTCCCTGCATGATTTGAAAGTCAGCTAAAAGATCATGATCATGAAAATATTTTCCTGTACCAATTTGTCATGGTAACTAATATATTCAAAATCATTAATTCTCCTGAATTAAGACATTGTTTTCATGCAATCACTATGAAAATTTCAACATTTTCTGCATTACTGCATTAGCTTCTCAACTTGGATTAGTTTATCATATTCTTTAGAAAAGAATAGAACCCAAAGGAAATGGGAGACAGAAGGAATGTATTTTGTTGGGGGTTGAGAAAGAACACACCCCAAGGGTAGCATGATAGAAGCTTTGAAGAGGGGAAAGCACACTGGAAAAGGAGCAGTGGCATTTGTTTCACATTTGTCTCAGATAAAGCCTACTGAGTAGTCTCATATATTTGCAAGATGGCTAAGTGGATTGTATTCCTAGAAAAGAAGACAAACATATCTATATTCTCAGTCTTACTGCAGTGTTATACTCCAATCAACTGGCCTAAATTCATTTAGGAGAGAGTCAAACGAGATGGTATTTGTAATGCACTTGGCATAGTACCTGACACAAAGAAGTTGCCTAATAAATGCTTGTTCCCTTCCCTGTACCCCTTCCATAGTCAGTCAACAAATATTTTGTTAAGCACCTACTGTGTACCCGGCACTGTGCTAAGTGCAGGGGATACAAAAAATGACAAAAGACGTTCCCTATTCTCAAGGAGCTCACAGTCTAAAAAATAGTTTGCAGCAAAAATAAATAAAATGGGTCATAAATGGCCATTTCTGTCTGAAATACATAATGTGTATGTCCTTTTAATGTGTCCCCTATTTTGTGAGGAACTACATTAAATATGAGTTTATCAGCACTCTCCAGGTGTGTGACATTTGAAATGTCACTGACAGCTTGTGGTTTGCACTTTCCCACCACTCCCCTCACCCCCTTCCAGAGAGAAACAGTTAGAAGCCATTAAAAGGTCACAAGAAGATGCAGTAAACGAGGGAGACACATTTAGGAAGCAGCTCCAAGAAGCCATCAAACAAGTGGAGAATGCTGAGCGGCAGGTAAAGGGGAATCTGACTCATTTACCCAACAACTCTCCTGGGTGTGAGGAGGCAAAAATGGAGGAAGAGAAAAAAAAAGAAACCCAAAGGGGAACTGCTCAGTTCAGACCCCAGCTCTCTTGCTCTAAGCAGAGGAAGTAAAAGGGGGAGTTGTAAAAGAGGTGGTGTTAACAGCCTAGCTAGCCTGCTGATGAAAGAGGTAGCTTGGCACATAGAGATTCTACCGTTGCAGAAATAGCTCAAGCATACCAAACCCATGCAAATACAGAATTGCAGAAGTTCAGCAGGAGCTGATCACCCCCCTAAGAAGGAAAGCAAATTTTGAGTTGTGTGTGTGTGTGTGTGTGTGTGTGTGTGTGCGCGCGCACACAGGAGGGAGGTCAGATTGACAGCCAATTGTTTTCCAAGTTTGCAGCTTTGTTAAAATTCAGCGTTCCCATTGCATGTCCAGGCTAAGGATCAAGAACAGGCCCTCCATGCTGCCAAGGAAAAAGCTGAGTCTTTGCAGCACAAGTTGGAGGAAGCTGTTTCTGAAGGGCAAGATTTCCAAGCATTAAATAGCACCTCATCAAATGCTTGCCAGATACTTGGACAGAAGACAAGAAAACTGAAACGTGAGTACTACTGAGTCGTTTTGTTTCATCCTTAAATATAACATAAAGCTGGGCAATGGATGAAAAACTTGCTTTCTAGTTCATGACTGCTATTACTGTCATCTGGATTGGTGACAATGCTTGACCCTGTGGCCTAGGCTTTTCTGGGCTTTCCTAATGGCCGTTTAGTCTGTGTCACCCAGACAACATTACTTACTCCTCAGCACTTTCATCAGGGACTGGACCCTCCAGTAGTTCTACTTTTTAAAAACAAAATGCCTCTGAGACCAAATGGAGGAATAACAAAAAAAAAATCAAGTATGCATAGTCTATCTTGATAATTTTATCAGTCAGTTAGTTAGTGCCCAGAGAATAGAATACCTCCACATTGATGCATACCCCACGCAGTGGGAAGAAACAATGTCACAAAATTGTTTAAAATCTCTCTATGATAGCTAGTACTCTATGGGTATTCATTAAATATATATGAAAAGAAAAAAGCCTAACAACCTTAATAAAGCATTCTTACTCTAAAGTTTGATAAAACAAAGATGCTTTTCAAATTTCTCTTACATTTATGGGTGTTTATCTTTACTAACAAAATTTTATAGACAGTTGTTTAAGAGATACTTCACTGTTTTAGAATTGAAGGATTTTATCTAAAAATGAATTGAAGTTAAAGGTTAGCTAGAGGGTCAAGGGTGCACTTGCTTTTGTTTTGGGTTTACTGTAGCCCTTTTTTGCCTTCTTTTGAGAGAGATGTTTGGGAGAATTGAAAAATAACTTTCTGCTCCAAAATATCAGTGTTGACAACCTATAAAACACATAAAACTTGCCAGCTTTCCTCAAATTCAGCTGCATAAATTCATACATATTTGTATGAAGCTGTCAGATAACATACTGTTTGCTACAAAAGACTGTCTTTTTTTTTTCCCTTGTAAAATTAAATGGTTGGAGGAAGATTCCACATTGTTTGGAATTGCCCAAGCATGGCAAAGCTACATTACAGGTATCCCAAATATAGCTTATGCAACTGCTGCTTAATTCATTACATTTTAAAATTTTATTAATGTGCTTTGTTTTTACATTACAAACACTTGATTACCCCATATGGTGAGCTAACTCACTTCTAAATGTGATTTTGTAGGCTACTTAGTAGCACAAATAAAAAAAAAAGTTACTAATCAACAATCAGCTTAATATGAATAAAATTGAGTGGGAAATTGTGAGTTCCTATCACTTTCCATGATTTCCCTTTTTATGTTTTAGGCATGGAGGTGTTTCAGTCTGCTTTGAAGGAAAGAAATATCCACAATGATGAGACCTTAGGGTCTATCAAAGTATATCTTAAGTGGGCCTGCCTGTAGACAGCCTCAAATACCTTCTTGGTCTATATATTTATCTCCATTTCTTCCTTGGAGGTTCTACATTAACATCCTTCAAAGAGCTGAATGAGTAAGGTATTCAAACTGGATTAAAAAATTGACCTAATGCATTTCTAGTTAGAAGAGAAATTAGTTTGGAAACAGTGACACCTCCATGTGCTTCCAATTCTTTCCCCCCATTAGAATGTATGGCAAGTACCATCACACAATAAGCATTTAACAAATGCTTGTTTCCTTCCTTTTTTTTTTTTTGCTTTTATATCCCCAAATCTACTGAAATGTCTTAATGATTAATAAATTTATGTTGAATTTAATTTCGTGTCAGAAAGGTAGTACAGTATAGTGGAAAGAATGCTAGATTTAGAGTTAGAGGGCTGAGGTCAAATATTGGCTCTGCCACTTACTCTGTGATGTTGGGCCCGTCTGTTAACTTACCTTCTCTGAGACTCAGTTCTCATGGATAAAATGACAAGGTTGGCCTGGATAATCTCTAAGGTCCCTTCTAGCTCATAACCTATAATTCCATGATATTCTCCAACTTGCTACCCATAATAAACTTTACTATTTATCGGTGGTATCCTCTGTCTCTAAAAGACTGAATCCTACTTTTTATACCATTTGCTTAAGAAGCTTCTTCTATACTACAGCATTTCAAAAATGGATCTCATTATAACTTTAATAAAGGTCATAATGGGTCCCCAATAAAGATCTCTGAAACCCATTTCCACTTCTTAACTTCCCTATTTCTGTTGAGGGCTACCATCATCCTTACAACCATATTCAGATCTTTGGAGTAATTTTTATTATTTATATACAATTTTATTGCTATATTTTGCAAGGAAGGGAGAGAAACACATTTTTCATACCTCTTTTTTGAAGGGATCAGGCTTGATCACTTTTCAAAATTAGTAAGCATTTATTTTCTCTCCCTTCAACCATGACCCCCTAACTTAAATAAATAAAGAATTGAATGAATGAAAAAGAAAACCTTTATAATAAATATGTGTAGTCAAATAAAGTAAATTCTGACACTGGTCACATTCAAAACTTCATGACTCACTATGCATCTTGAATCTGTGACTTTTCTGTCAGGAGGTAAGTAGCATAATTCATCATCAGTCCTCTGGAGTCATGGCTGGTCATTGCACTGATCACACTTTTTAAATCTTTCTTGAATTTGTAATATTGTTATTGTTGATATTATTGTTATATTGTTGTTGCTGTTATTGTATCAGTTCTCCTAGCTCTGCATTATTTCATACAAATCTTCCCAGATTTCTCTGAAATCATCCCTTTCATAATTTCTTGCAACACACTAATATTCCTTTGCACTGTGCTAAGCATTAGAAAGACAAAGAAAAGCAAAAGTCCCTGCTCTCAAGGAGCTCATGGTCCAATGAAGGAGGTAACATGGAAACAACTGTGTACAAACAAGCTATGGACAAGATAAATTGGAGATAATTTACAGAAAGAAGGCACAAAAATTAAGGTGGATCAGAAAAGACTTCCTGTAAAAAGTAGAAATTTAACAGGGACTGAAAGGAAGCCAAGAAAGCCTGGAGGTAGAGATGAGGAGGGAGTGGATTCCAGGCATAGGGGACAGCCCATGAAAATGCCCAGAGTTGGAAGATGAAATTTCATCATTCATTGAACACATGCTCTACTTTCCTGACTATTTGTGTTTTTCCCTTATCCCGGAATGCACTCTCCCCTAATCCTGCCTGTCAAAATCCTACCCATCCTATTTTTTGCTTTGTTTTTATTGTTGTTAATATACATTTTGCTCTTTAATAAAAGCTAGAGTAGTTGGGCAAAATTTTATCCCTTACTTTATATGGTTAGTTCAATTTATGAACAGTTATTAAGTTCATTCTTAGTAGATCTGTGATCTCATCAATGTAGGTACACCCTCCAACAGTAATGATTATAATCCATCCATGCCTTCTCTTGTCCATGTCCTCCTGTAAATTTTCCCTGGGGTTGGGCAGCCAGGAAACTGGAGGCCTTTTTCTAGATCCCTTGACATTGTATACAGGGAAGCACACAAAATGACTGTGGATACCAGCCCAGTTCCTTTTCTAATCCCGTAGCTCTCTGATATTCTTTATACTACTCCTGTACTGTTCTTGTTTGGTAATAGATTGTAGCCTACCCATTCCCCCTGTGCACCAAAGGTATTTGGCACTAAATTGTAGGAAGTCTAATGAAGAAACTAATTTGAAGAATTCCTTATAGAGCCTTGTAGATCAAGGCCGGGAATATTATACAACCTCCTAATGAGACCAGTAATCATTCAAAAGAGCTCATCATATATCTAAAAGACTGAATGTGTATAATAATAATAATAATTACTATTGTTGTTATTGTTATTTTATAATAGCCAAAATTAAAATTTTTTTAAAATTGAAATTTTTTTTTAAAAAAACCTATATTTTAAGGACCTTCTTAAATGCTCCCTCCTTCATAAAGCTATCCACTGATTCCCCCAAATGAGTGTCATCTCTTCTCCCCTGAGCCCACATTTATATCATTTTTATGATATTTGATTGTAACGTATGATACCCTGGTCCCCTCTGCTTGAATGCCCACATGTAATGTCATCCCACCTCAGTGTTCTCCAGCACCTCAATGGAGTTTGGGGATGTCTAGGCTCTCTGCCAACTGCTCCAGCCTTCATCAATGCTGTTCCCTCAATTGTAGGGGTCTCCTTGACTGCAGTTCCACTTAACCACTAAACAGTCAGGTTAGCTTTTATAATGGAATATTTACTTCAAAAGCATAGCAAGAACAAATATATTAACACTCTTCCTGCCACTACTTAAGAGAGCATAATTCCCCACCCCCACCCCACACCTCTTCAGTCTCTGGGGAGGGAAGGGGCATTAGGTTCACGGTTTAATTCAGCTGCTGTATAGCATAGTTCTACCAAGTTCCAAGTCCAAAGCTCTTCTTGGGCTTAAGTGCCAGACACCCTGGCTTCTCAGGGCATCCAACATCTGGCCTAGGAACCTTTCTTTCTTTTTTTTTTTTGGATAGGCAATAGGGTTAAGTGACTTGCCCAGGGTCACACAGCTAGTAAGTGTTACGTGTTTGAGGCCGGATTTGAACTCAGGTCCTCCTGAATCTAGGGCTGGTGCTCTATCCACTGAGCCACCTAGCTGCCCCAGGAGCCTTTCTTTAAGGTCATCATTGCGCTATTCCAGGTTCTAGGATTCTACTACCTGCGCCTCGAATGCAAAAAAAAAACAAAAACAAAAAAACCAGACCAGAACAAAACTCCAAGCCCATTTCTCAGGTTTACAGGGATTAAAAGGGGGGAGGGAGGGTAAGATAGTCCTTTCCCCCATGACTTATGGTGTCCTTATGGGTGAAAAGGACACTTTATGGAAACAACTGTACAGAAAGAATATGTCCCTGTCTTGTAGTTTTAGAGATGCAGCCTGTTCCAGCTATGTAGTCAACGTGAAAGTTTGGTAAGAGGGAAGAAGAAAAAGAATGAGTCTGTTAACTTCTACTACAGCATGATGTAGAATTCACTGGAGGACAGAAGAAATAGGGCCTCATTACCTAATTTAACAAAGAAAGATTGACCTTCATTGGAGAACTTTTTTAAGAGGTGATTTATTTTCAATAACA